GAGAGAGAGACGAACTCCCATAAAATTTTCATTCTTTTAGCTGATTTCTTTTGTGGGTTTTTTAAAACAGAGCCCAGATGGTGATATAATCGACTGTGTCCCAATCACTGACCAACCAGCTTTTTCTCATCCTCTGCTTATTAATCACACTGTCCAGGTTTTTATAATTTTCTTCTCTTTATAACTTTCTTTTGTGTGTTGTGTGTGGTTTTTGTTCTGAATAGTTCTGACATTGTTGTTGTTTTTTATATTTTTATAGATGAGGCCAAGTTTTAACCCAGAAAGTGTTTTTAGTGAGAGTAAACTTTCATCTAAAACCAAGAATCAGCAGCACTCTAAGGATATAAATCAGCTTTGGCATGTGAATGGCAAATGTCCACAGAACACAGTTCCCATCAGAAGAACCACCAAACAAGATCTTTACAGAGCAAGTGCCGTCGAGAATTACGGTATGAAGAATCAGAAAAGTATCCCTAAACCTAAATCTTCTGAGCCGCCTAATGTCCTCACACAAAATGGTCATCAGGTAATATATATATATAGTTTCTTCACATTTTGAATTGGTTTTGGCCATTTTTGTTGTGTCCATTAACCCTTTCTTTCCTCTCTATCTTCTTCTTTTGGTGTTGATTTAAGCACGCGATAATGTATGTCGAAGACGGTGTGTTCTACGGGGCTAAGGCGAAGATAAATGTGTGGAAACCAAATGTCGAAATGCCTAATGAGTTTAGCTTGGCTCAGATTTGGGTTTTGGGTGGGAATTTTAACTCTGATCTCAATAGCATTGAAGCTGGCTGGCAGGTATGTTTGTTCTTTCGGTTTTTGGTTGTTCTGTCCTGATAAAGAAACTGTTCTTGATTCAAAGATTTGTGCTTTCAGGTCAGCCCACAATTGTATGGTGATACTCGCACCAGACTCTTCACTTATTGGACTGTAAGTTTAAGTTTCTGAATATTCAAATCAGATTTTTCTTGTTTTGTGTGTTTTGGCTTACTTACTTAAGTTTAAAAATCATTCTTTTGTCTCTCCCTTGTGCTAACAGAGTGATGCATACCAAGGCACAGGCTGTTATAATCTTCTATGCTCAGGATTTGTTCAAATCAACAGGGAAATAGCAATGGGTGGATCAATCTCTCCTTTATCAAACTATGGAAACTCTCAGTATGACATTACCATACTTATCTGGAAGGTAAACCAACTACAAAAACCACATTATTACCATTTTTGAAAAGTAAGATGCTACTACTACCTAACAAGAACCTCCGTCATTTAGGCTCGGCTCTGTTTTGGTTTTGGTTATAATAACCAAAACATACAAAAAAGGATTTAATTAATATATACTATATATATTGCATGGTTAAATCTATTTTAGTGATTTCTTTTTACTCACGGTTTGTTTGGCGTAAAAATAATGCTACTGATCACTTTTGGTTAGGCTTTGTTTTGAGAAATATTAGTTTGGTTTCTTGTCAGGATCCAAAAGAAGGACATTGGTGGTTACAGTTTGGAGAGAAATACATAATAGGATACTGGCCAGCTTCCCTCTTCTCTTACTTATCAGAAAGTGCATCGATGATCGAATGGGGAGGTGAAGTGGTTAACTCGCAGTCCGAGGAAGGACAACACACAACCACTCAGATGGGAAGTGGGCGGTTTGCAGAGGAAGGTTGGGGAAAAGCCGGTTACTTCAAGAACGTCCAAGTAGTCGATGGATCGAACGAGTTGAGAAACCCGGAAAATCTTCAAGTCTTTACTGATCAGGAGAACTGTTACAATGTGAAAAGTGGTAATGGAGGCTCTTGGGGAAGTTACTTCTACTATGGTGGTCCTGGGAGAAACCCAAATTGCCCTTAAAATGTGATCTACTTACTCACATTGAAGATCATTCTAAAATCAATTGTATAAAACATATATAAATATATACACATTCTTAAGTATATTAATTGTCAGGTTTGAAGAGTGGTTTATGGTATATTTTAAATTCTGCAGAGTTTGGTTTTGTTTGAGTTTTGTCTCTGTTGCCATGGAGAGGTGAAGAGAAGATAAATTTCTTTAAAGAACATGGTCCCATGTGTATACTGAAATGAAATGATCACATTAATTAATCAATTTGTATTTATTTATTTTTGTATATGAGTGGTACTTTGTTTTCAGTGTGACCTGTGTTACTGCTTTGTCTGTAATCAGTCATGGAGATGGGACTCTTTGTTTTTGGATCTTCTTTCATCAGTCATGTTTTAACAGAGTATCTATCAGAATTATTGGACAAACTTCACTTCACTAGAGACTTCTTGTCACATATTCACAATTTCATGTATGTTTTTATAGAACACAACTAAGAAAATGAAATATATTTTTTTAGGCATTTAATTTATTTGTTAGCAGCTAAAATTCCCAATTTAGAATAGTGAAAATGTTTAAAGAAAACTAAATTCATACTTTTTTTTGTAGTATGTGGATTACATATATATATGTATCTTCTCATGGCCTCTCTTAAAGTCAACGAAAAATGTGGGCATGAAGCCACAAGAGAGTTGACTTCGATCGTGTTGACGAGTTCTCAAATCGAAAAGTGTATAATCAATTAAACATATTAAGAGAATTATATAATTCATTTAACAAAATATTCAATGGTGCCAAATAAAAGAATGTACCGACCATAGTTAGCAATTCATGTCGAAACTTAATAATGAACTGATGCACTTACAAGTTCGTGACCTCCTCACACGGAATGGTTCATGACAGACTAACAAATGATTTGATGAGAATGATGATCGATTTATAAATTCTTCTTCTTGTCTCAGATTGAATTATTATAGATGACGTCGAAGACTAGGTTACATATTTTAATTTCTGATAAGAATCATAACTAATTCAGTTAGATTACTTACATATATCGTTTGGTCAAATGTCTACTTTATATTTTCCCAAAACATTATCTGGCCGGTTAACCAAAGAATGATCAACCAACCGGTCCTAAATTTATAAATTCAAATTTAGTTTTTTTTTTTTTTGGTCCGAGATAATGTGATGGGTGAAAAACTTGGAGTAGCATTATAAAAACTTCAGACAACGATTTGGCAAACAATGAATAAGCACTAACCTTAATAATCCTAGGAAAAAATTGTTTATATATGGTTAGAGTTTGAGAAGACCGGTTAAGGAAAACATTAGCAATCTACTCTTCTATAAAATCCAATGAGTACTATCTAAAAGTTTTGCTAAGAACTGCATAGCCATGACGAGAATGACCAGTTTCATAGTAGTGCTACTTGTGATGGTGATCGGAGCGATATTAGCTATTTGCGTTGATGGACACATATCCTTCGATCAACAGGAAATCAAAGTACTTAAATCCATTAAGGTATCTTATATATCTTATACAAATTCTATATGTAAATTTCATGACAAGATGACAATGTTTTTAGACATGTATTCTTTTACGTACGTTCTAATTAATCGGTTCTTATAGAGTGAAGATGGAGATGTAATAGATTGTGTTCCTATCACTAATCAACCAGCTTTTGATCATCCTTTACTTAAAAACCATACCATCCAGGTTTGGCTTTTTTTTTTTTTTGGGTTATCGTCTCTTTATTCTTTTAGAACATAACTTTTTCTGTTTATGAAATATTTACGGAAAAAGGCTTATACTTGTAGATGAGGCCTAGTTTCTACCCGGTAAGTGATTCTACGTACACCAAGAGAGAAGCAAAGGCTATAACTCAGGTTTGGCACAAGACTGGAAAGTGTCCCAAAAACACTGTTCCAATCAGAAGAGCAAAGAAAGAAGATCTCTTAAGACCAAAATCCATCACGAGTTTTGGGAGAAAGTCGCATCAAAGCATCCCAAGAACTACAACCTTTGATCCAACATTAGGTCACCAGGTACAACTACATGCATACACACACACATAACACATGTCATGTATATTATTTGTTACTGACTTGTGGCTTACAATTTTCATATATATTGGATTCGCTTTAGTACGCTTTGATGGGTGTGAGGAACGGAAAGTTTTATGGGACAAAGGTTGCAATAAATGTGTGGAAACCATTTGTTCAAATTCCCAAAGAGTTTAGCTTGGCTCAGACATGGGTTATTTCCGGAAATGGCTCTAGTCTTAACACCATTGAAGCTGGTTGGCAGGTTTGGTTCCTTCTTCTCTGCATCCTTTTTATGTTTTTATGCAAATAAACTAAACACGTAACTAGTCTACCTTTGTTTGTCTTAATTTATAGGTTTATCCAGAACTATATAATGACAATAATCCAAGATTCTTTGTTTATTGGACGGTAAGCTCTTCTATGCATAGCTAACTCTTATATATTAAACTCTATATCATTTGAAATTCAAACGATCAACTAGTTTCACGATCTTGAATAGAACTATAAAGTGTAACTTTAGTTTTTCTTGCTTCTTTCTTTTAGCATAGGCCTATAAATTTATACATCTAAGACTTTGATTATTTTGTTTTTTTTTTTCCCGGGGAATAGCGTGATGGATACAGAAAAACAGGGTGCTACAACCTTCTCTGCTCTGGTTTTATTCAGACAAGTAATCGATACACCGTAGGTGGGTCGATCACCACCATGTCACGCTACGGTGGAGCTCAATACAACCTATCCATACTTATATGGAAGGTAATAACATACTTATATTTCACCTCAACAATATGAGATTCATATATTCAACCTAACTTCCATGGCAAGATATACCTTTTCCCTCAAGTTACCTCTCCATCTAACCCGAATGAGTAAATTCTTAATCAGGACCGGAAAACAGGAAACTGGTGGCTTAGGGTAAATGAAAAAGACGTTATTGGGTACTGGCCAGGCTCGTTGTTCAATTCTCTAGGAAGAGAAGCTACGAGAGTTGAATGGGGAGGCGAAATCATTAACTTGAGGACCGGTGGGAGACACACAACCACAAATATGGGAAGTGGGCATTTTGCAAACGAAGGTTTTAAGAAAGCAAGCTATTTCAGGAATCTTATGATAGTTGATGGAACCAATACTCTTAGAGAACCAAAAGGACTTTACTACTTTGCTGATAAACACAACTGTTACAATGTTAAGCCAGGGAATGGTGGAACTCCTTGGGGTACTCATTTCTTCTATGGCGGTCCTGGTCGAAACGTTAAGTGTCCTTGATTTGTATATGTGTGTATTCAAAAGCTTTTGAGATTTTCACATACATACATTGTTTTGAATAAGAACATGTGATGGTCATTTAAGAATTAAAAAATCCACGTCATCAGAGATGTTTCTTTCTATCATCAATTCGATTTCTTCAATCAACAGTCTGTTTTATCAAATATATATATATCAATAGTCTGTTGATGGTGAATTGAAATAATTCGAGAATGACAAAGACGTGATATTTACACAGCTGTTGAGATCAAATTTGAAAACAAAATGTAAAACATTGCACGTTTAATAAATGTTATTCTTTCAAAAGCTGAGGAATCGTTTGGACGGAGAAAAATTAGTAACGGCTAATTAACACTATTATCATTACCGATTTTGTATTATACACTTATACTAGATTTTGACCCGCGCTATAGCGCGGAGGAAATGTTTCAATTTGATTTTGTTAAATAACGTAAACTGTTTCCTAAGAGTTGTATTATCCGAGGTTTCTGATATTTACTCATCATAATTAAAAGTAGCGGTTAAACAATAACAATTTCGAGTGGTTTGTGTTAATTTGTTGTTTGAAAAGCATATTTTAAATTAAAACCACAATTACTTTCAATGCACTATATTTCATGTGTTTTAAAGTTAACACATTTTCTTATAACCAAATAACCTCTAAGACTTCCTAAATTATTATATATAAATGTTTTTTAATATTCATTTGTAATTGAATTTTTTAAATTTTTTTAATGTAATCTTTAGTTTGTGTAGTAATTAGTGGACTTATGTAATTTTACAAAGTATGATAATATATTTTAAGAAACATTTAAACTTGTAATTGGGCTACGAAATTAGTTTAAACTTAATACACGTAAAAATGAACAATTTTAACTTAATACATGTTAAAATTTGATTTAGTTATGTTCTTTAAGACACGTAAAAATGAACAATTTTCATATAATTTATGTAATTAGTATTACAATGGTAAAACTTAAGTTGTGTGTATCATGTTCTAACCCGTTGCAAAAATATTCTGACCCATTTTAATATTTTAAATATTCTATATTTTTTTATATTTGAATATTTTAAAGGAGAATTTCAAAATTACCCCTTTTCATATACCACTTTTTAAAATAATCTAGATTTTGACCTGCGCTACAGCACGGGGGAAATGTCTCTGTTTGATTTTGTTATATAACGTAAACCGTGTTGCTGTATCGCGGTATTAAACGGGGTATTAGATATTTGCTGTATATTAAAAATGTGAGTGGGTTGTGTTAATATGTGGTTTGTGAATCATATAGTAAATGAAAACCATATTTACTTTACATGCACTATATTTTAGTGTTTAAAAGTTAATACTTTCTACTTATAACCAAACTAAAAGTAAGACTTCCTAAATTATTATATACTTTTTTTTTAATTTTCCTTTGTAATTTGATTTATAGAAGTTACTGATGGTTTTTTTTAGTTTGTGTGTTAATTAGTGGACCTTTCTAAATTACGGTCCAAATTTCAATAAAATTTGTGCTACATCTAAACTTGGACGTGGTGTACGAAATTGAAATAAACTTAATACATTGAGTTCTAAAGTTTGCTGGATACTTTTAAGCAATAATATGAAGCCCTTTGTATTCACGAAGTCCATTTAGAAAGACTGGCTACGACATAAAATTTTCAACAACTCTCGGATAGGAAAGTGTACTCCACCGACCAAAGTGTACTCTCGGATATGAAACGTGTTTTTCTTTTCTAACACGTTTTTCAAAAAACAACTGCATATTAAATTTTGCTTTATGCGTCGGGAATAATAAGAATTAGCCAGGCCGACTTGGGCCTAAAATTATTTTGTCAGAGCCAGAAAAGAATAGGTGGGCTAGCTTTGGATCAGAAATCTTATTTATTTTCAATTGGGTCGGATTTAATTACCCGCAAATTAAGAAGGAAACTGCGCAATATCCGATTGCCAAAACCAGGTTACAATATCGAAATTGACCCGACCCGAAACTGCGTTAGTTACCGGTTTACCCTTAATGACAATGAAGAATGAAGGTTAGGATTATGTTTTTTTGGTAATTTTATCTTTTTTTTTTTGAAAAAAAAGTGTACTCCTCTTTTACTATATAGGGGATTACTTGTTCTAAATATTGATAAATTATGTCTCAATTAGAAATTTTAGAATGATAAAAGAACATATAATTTTCCGGTAACGTAATGTGTAAATATAAAAAACACATGTACATAAATTACAATTGTAGAGCTTAACTCAATGTTTATTATTAACACAATGTGTTTTGCCATGATGTTATTTATTCATGACAAACAGTCAGCAGGACAAATACAAAAGGTCCAAAGAGAAGTAACATACGTAATAATTAAACGTGCAAAACATTACTCAAATTCTATAACAAACTATGTTGATTCGAACCAAAGGCCAAACAACTCTAACAGTGATTTGCGATGACTTTTTCGTTTCACAATAAATACCTGACATGTGCTGAGTTGATAAGACCAAATCTTTGAAGTTTTGTGTATGTGTGTGGTTGATCTAACTCGACCCAACATTATTGATTCTGTCCCCAGTTCCTTTTACTTCTATCTTTACCACACAACACACACAAATCACACAGACATTTATTGGACTTCGATTTTGGATTCTTGAATCTCAAAAATGGGTAACAGGTCATCTGCTCTAAGTTCATCTCCATCTTTACCGATTGATTCCACATTCAGTCTCCCTTCTCCGTTACCATCTTGGCCTTCAGGTTCATGTTTTGATTTTTTGATTTTTTGATTTTTTTTACTTTATTGTTCGTCCTGTTTCTCAGCTCTGTTTTTAGCTCTGCTTTTGCTCTGTTTATAGAGTTTTGTTTTGATTTTTCAGGTGAAGGATTTGCGAAAGGGAGAATAGATTTGGGAGGTCTTGAAGTTTGCCAAGTAGAAACGTTTAATAAAGTATGGACTGTATACGAAGGAGGACCAGATAATCTCGGAGCCACTTTCTTTGAGCCATCTTCAGTACCTGAAGGCTTTTCAATTCTCGGCTTCTACGCTCAACCTAATAACCGCAAGCTTTTCGGATGGGCGCTTGTCGGAAAAGACCTCTCGGGCGACTCTTTAAGACCGCCGGTGGATTATCTTCTTCTTTGGAGCGGCAAATCTACAAAGGTAGAGAACAACGGGAATGAAACTGGATACGTTTGGCAGCCTCTACCTCCTGCTGGTTACAATGCAGTGGGTCTAATCGTGACAACCTCGGATGAAAAACCTCCTCTGGACAAGATCCGTTGTGTTCGTTCCGACCTGACTGATACAGCCGAGTCTGACGCTCAGATATGGGAAACTAATGGGTTTAGCGTTTCAAGTTCTAGACCTGTTAACAGAGGAACACAAGCCTCTGGAGTCTCTGTTGGCACGTTCTTTGCAAACTCTTCGAATCCTACTTTACCCTGTCTGAAAAACAATAAGTTCGATTTTTCTTGTATGCCAAGCAAGCTCCAGGTGGATGCTCTGTTTCAAGCTTACGCCCCTTGGATCTACTTCCACAAGGATGAGAAGTACCTCCCATCGTCTGTCAACTGGTTCTTCAGCAACGGTGCCTTGCTTTACAAGAAAGGTGATGAATCAAACCCAGTTCCAGTCGAACCAAACGGTTCAAACCTTCCCCAAGGTGAATCCAACGACGGTCTATATTGGTTAGACCTACCTGTTGCTCCTGACGCAAAAAAACGAGTCCAAGGTGGTGATTTACAGAGCATGGAAGTGTATCTGCATGTTAAACCCGTTTTCGGTGGAACCTTCACAGACGTAGCTGTGTGGATGTTTTATCCATTCAATGGCCCATCACGGGCCAAGCTCAAGGCCGCTACAATCCCGTTGGGAAGAATCGGCGAACACATTGGAGACTGGGAACATTTCACTCTCCGAATAAGTAACTTTAGCGGCAAGCTACAACGGATGTATCTGTCGCAACACAGTCGAGGAAGCTGGATCGATGCTCCAGAGATCGAGTTTCAAGGCAGAGGGAACAAACCGGTAGCTTATGCTTCTTTGAATGGACACGCAATGTACTCGAAACCGGGACTTGTGTTGCAAGGCAAAGACAATGTGGGGATTAGGAACGATACAGGAAAGAGTGAGAAAGTGATTGATACAGCGGTTAGATTCAGGGTTATCGCAGCTGAGTACATGAGAGGAGAGGAAGTGGAGGAGCCGGCTTGGTTGAACTATTTGAGACATTGGGGACCAAAGATTGATTATGGTCATGAAGATGAGATTAGGGGTGTGGAGAAGATTATGGTTGGGGAGAGTCTAAAGAACGTGTTTAGGAGTGCGATTAAAGGATTGCCTAATGAGGTTTTCGGAGAGGAAGGACCTACTGGTCCAAAGCTGAAGCGGAGTTGGTTAGGTGATGAAGACTGAATTGAATCTCTCTGTTTTGTTTTGTGAATCCATTAATTTTTTTCATTATTCCTATTTATGTTTCATTGTTAATTTACCATGTTTAAGTTCTTAATGTCCCGCCATGCTTTATTTTCCACATAAATAATAAAAAATATCACCTGTTAAAAATGGTTCACTTGAGTTGTTGTCTCGTCTCTTTACTTGTAAATTATTTATTTCGTTTATCTTTTGAAGTTTAACAAAAACGCTAAATTAAAAATCCAGATATAAACCTAAAACCTAATTTAGTTTATTTATTAAATTAACACAATGATTAAAAACCTATGTAAATGATTAAAAATATAAAATGCAATGCAACTGGTAATCAACTTTAGATTTAATTTCTTCAATGCTTATCGCTTGATCATCCATATATATTTCCACATAGTATATAAATTTCTGTTAACGTACCCATCGAAATTTGTTGTGGCGACATTGAATACACTAGGCGGGTAACCACCAACTCTAATTAAGCGCCCCCCCTCTAAGCCCAAGTCACTTAATTTTAGTTGTTACTAAGGAATTCGTTACTAAGCCTATATCCCTGGAGTCCTGGACCATCCAAAGTAAGCAAAAACAGTACCATAATTGTATTATTTAGTTTCTATGTAAAGGCCCAAGCTCTTGTACAAGCTAGGAACGTATACTTTGCTAGCTAGCTCCCCAATTAAAATTTGACCATTTAGTTGATAAAACAAATAACACGTAATAAAAAAGAGTCTCAAAGAATTGTGTGAAAAATAAACCTAATTACTTAATCTATTAGTTTGATTCAGTTAACATTTTGTGAATATATAGATAATAAATATAAGATTGTATCATTTTAAAAAAACAAAAGCAAAATTTGTTGGAACTGTTAATTTCTATTATTTTTTAAACGACAACTTGAACTTTTAGAGTTAAAATTTTAATTTTAAATATTAAAGTAATTATAAATAATTGAGAAAGATATCTCGGTAATGCTTAGAATAAAAGTTCCAACAAATTTTGATGTAATTGAGCCCGCTCTTGCTTGACTCAAGTCACCCGAATAATTTTCTTTCCCAAATGACGCGTTGATGTTTTGAGATGATGTTTTGAATCTTCTTCGTTCGTTTTTCTGAAATCGTTCACACGCATTTTAACGACTTCCACTTAACGTGTTGCTTACAATGCAGTGGTCATTTTCTTAAACATATATATCAAACTTGACTCTTTATGGTCGTTGAGATAGACTCGGTAAACGAGTATTTAAAATCCAACTACATACTCCGGTTAACTTGAGTTAATCAAAAAAAATTCTGGTTATATTAATTGCTAAACTGTACAGAGGGAGTTGTTTTTCTAAAATATCATGAAAGAGTATTTTTGTTAACATACAAGAAAATATATTCTTACTAGAAATCTATGAGTTTACGACAATGTAATTAAACCCTAGCTTTGCTGGAGCGTTACATGAGATAGCTCTCCAAATTGAAGTTATCCTCACAACGAATATTCTTGATTTTAGAAAGATTAGTAGCCATAATTTGAGAATAAGAATTGTGGAAATAGAATTTATACATACACACGTCCATATATAGGTTAATTATGACGACATATGCACATGAAAGGAAATGAATTGACAACATGAAGCTAATTAAGCCTTAGTATAACAAGAGAAATTTGCTTGCTCTGATGAAGCTAAACTAAGCCTTGAAATGATGAAACTCTTGAGCCAATTTTTCCATTGATTAGTTGTGATGATGCTTAAGTCATGAGTCAATTTTCATAAAAATATTTAAGTCATGAGGGGAGTTGTGACAGGTGATGTTTATGTCATAAGTCAGTCAGTCTTCATTATAACCTCTAGTCTAATGATTTTACTTTATTTCTTAATTTATACAGAATATATGAGCGATCTGCTCCTATAAATTCCAATTGTTAGCGCAGTAGTTGATTGAAAAAAAAAAAATCAAACAAAAATTAAATCCCAAAGAGTATACGTAGTATTTTACATAACTAACCATGATGGGAGTGGGCGCTTTCGCGGTAGCTCTAATGATGATAACGGTAATAACCTCTCCTTGTCTTCATGGAGAAGAGTTCTCGGATCACCAGGAAATTAACGTACAAAGACTTTTGAAACGCCTCAACAAACCTGCTCTTAAATCCATTAAGGTATAAATCTCATACAAGTGTAATTTGCATAAACTCCATGCTTTGAATATTGAACTTTTTGCCCTAATCTTTCTTACAGAGTGAAGATGGAGATATAATAGATTGTGTTCCTATAACTTGTCAACCAGCTTTGGATCATCCTCTACTTAAAAACCATACCATACAGGTTTGTCTTCATTTACGATATCTCTTTTGTTTATATATATATGCATGATCATGTTGAAACGATAATTTTGTGCACGCAGATGAGACCGAGTTTTGTCACGGAAGATGAATATAAGAACAACAAGAAAAAACAAAAGGCTATAATTCAGGTGTGGCACAAGGATGGAGATTGTCCGGAAAACACTGTTCCTATAAGGAGAACAAAGAAAGAAGATATATTAGGAGCAAAATATTTTGAGAGTTTCAGGAGAAAAAATCATCGACGCATTGCTGAATATAAAAGTCCAAATATAGGCCATGAGGTACAACTCTTTTGAATTGTCCTTTGTATGAATTAAGTAGGTACTGTCATGTGTCGTAATTCACATTTTCCCCTTTTCTGGAGCCGGTGTAGTATGCAGTCATGGATCTAAGGACGGGAAAGTTTTACGGAACAGAATTTACAATAAATATCTGGAACCCAAAAGTTCAAATTTCAAATGAGTTCAGCCTGGCTCAGACTTGGCTTTTGTCTGGAAATGGCCCTCAACTTAACAGTATTGAAGCTGGTTGGCAGGTCATGTCTTAATTAATCTAGTCCTCCATTCTTAATAAAACTTTCCTCTCATGCAGAAAATCTTAATTGACACTATCTTTATTTGCCATTATTTGTATTTTGTAGGTTTCTGAAATAATATACGGTGATAGTAATACTAGATTATTCGTTTTCTGGACGGTAATTAAGTTCCCATTTCCATTAAATTATACGTAACCCTAATTATATTAAGCTAATCATTTGAGAAATGTAGACGGTTCACAATCTGAAAACACAGAGTATATTAATTATATTACCACTATGGCCATATTTAACTTTGGTACCTGATTTATTAGTCTTTTTTTTTTTGGTGTTCTAGAACAATGGATACCAAGGAAAACTGTGCTACAATCTGGATTGCCCAGATCTTGGTTTTGTTCAAGTGAGCAATCGTTTCACTGTAGGTGGATCATTAAACCCCGTGTCGCAATACGACGGAGAACAACAAGAGCTCTCCATGCATATAAGGAAGGTACTAATCTTAACAACTACTATGATGGACTGAAGATATATATCTTTCGGATGGTTTTGTTTTGCATGAAAAAATTGTTAACCCCATATATTAACATGAGTTAACATATAAAATGATAAGGGTTATATATTCCGATCCCTATGTTATTATATATGCATCTGAACCCAAAATGGATTCGATTATATAGTACGACGGGAAAAACTGGTGGCTAAAGATTGGTGAAGAGTTCGTCGGGTACTGGTCTGACGACTTGTTCACTTCTCTAAAAGATGGAGCCACGGTAGTTCAGTGGGGCGGAGAAATCGTTAATAGGATGACAGATGGGAAACACACGACCACAGAGATGGGAAGCGGACATTTTGCAGAAGAAGGGTTCAAGAAAGCAAGCTATTTCAGGAATCTTATGATATATGACGAAGCCAATACTCTGAAAGAACCCCAAGGACCACTTAAACCCATAACTGGTCATGATGCCTGTTACAACCTTAAGCCAGGAGATGGTGGAACGCCCTGGGGAGTTAATTTCTTCTTTGGTGGTCCTGGTCGTAACGACAAATGCCCTTGATTTGGATCTTTGTCGTGTATTGAAAGCTTTCCAAAAATTTACATATCTACGTATGTCTCTCTGTATTTGAATAAGAACGTGTATTGTAAAAAAAATCGTAGTTAATTTACCTTGATACTATTTGTCTGTAAGCTTTTCACTTTCCACATCTCTGTAATCTGATTATGTAATCTGATTATTAAAAAAAATCCACCTCATTGATATTAATATGTGATAGATATCTTAAACTAGGGACTAATAAATAAAATTTATTATTCTATATAGTTATATCTAATTTATGAAGCTCCTCTATATCTCAAAATATTTTCTCTAGTTTTTATTTTATAAAATTAAAATTAATGAGTAAGTATTCTTTAGTACTGTACACTACTACTAAACTATATTTTGAAATCTTTTATAAATTTAAGTTTACTTATCTATTATCTGCCGATTGTGGCGGGACGAGAGGTGAATGTCTTGAGGATACTATTCCCATCAGAAGAAGAACAATAGATTATTTGTTAAGATATATCAGATTACTGAAACATATGGAAGAAATAAATATTGTGTTCAAACCACCGATCAACGTGAGTCCATTATAATTCGGTTTTCATCATTTAAGTTTTTATTGCTAAAACTTGATTAATCACCTAGTACTTAGATATCCAAAGAAGTTTATCGCACTAAAAAAGTTGATAATGTCAATTTTCTACCCCAAATTACACGCTCTGATAAATTGACATACTAGGGACTCGAAGATGATAAGGTCTTTACGCACTGATTTCTTAATTTATAAAATATGATGCACTCGAAGTTATCTTAGTTTCCATAGTAATGCGTTTCATCACAATATTGGGTGATGTTTAAGTCTTGGATCAATTTTCTCTAATTTCCATTGTGTTGTTACTGTGGTAACCACTTACAAATTGATGACAAGATGCTAATGTCTTTAAGCACTAGTTTCTTAATTTATAGAATATATGAGCAATATGCTTCTATAAATTCCAAAGTGTAGTTGATCAAAAATAATATTAAAATTAAAGAATAGCATCTAAAAGTTTTGCTAAACCATGATAGGAATGGCCGGATTCGCAGCATCTCTGATGGTGATAGCGGTGATAATATCTCCTTGCGTCTATGGAAAAGATCTCCCTGATCAACGGGAAATCCAAGTACAAAAACTTTTGAAGCGACTGAACAAACCGGCTCTTAAATCCATTAAGGTGTTTTATACATTTCCACATGCATATAACTCTATGCTTTTGGAATTTGCGGACAAAACATTTTAGGGACTCTTTCTTGGTGTTATTATTTTTTATTTAACATGCAGAGTGGAGATGGAGATATAATAGATTGTGTTCCAATTACTACTCAACCAGCTTTGGATCATCCTTTGCTTAAAAACCACACAATCCAGGTTTAAATTCGTTTATATATGGTCTCTCTCTTTTTCTCTTATGCATGATCATGTTGAAGCGGGAAGTTTTATGCACGTAGATGAGACCGAGTTTTATCCCAAAAGGTGATCATTACACCAAGAAAGATGCAAAGGCTATAACTCAGGTGTGGCACCAGAATGGAGAGTGTCCGCAAAACACTGTTGCTATAAGAAGAACAACGAGAGAAGAAATCTTACGAGCGAAAACCATTGAGAGTTTTGGGAAAAAGACTCATCAAAGCACCCCTGGAGGCCATGAGGTACTTTATGCATTGTCCTCGTTTAATTACTCTCTTTTGTGGCCATGGTGGAACCACATATAATTTTACACAGTAAACTTAACTTATTGTCATTATTAAAATAATACAGTATAAGCGCATCATATTCTATTTTTAAGATTTGTATTGTTAATTTTGGAAATACATGTAACATATGCTTCTAATGCACTCAATTATAGTTGTATAATTTAAAAAAAAAACTTGTAGGAAAAAAAATAGAAATCCGAAAAATCTAAGATCAATATAATAATAAATCTGATAGCCTCATTAGACATACATAATTGATATTAAATTATTAATAGAGTCGCATAACTTTGGAATAGTAATATGTCGTAAGAGAAATAACTTTTGAGATGAAACATGCTTTCTTGGCATTAACTTGGGTTTGAAGAAAACTATAGTGGAGTCCTGAAAAGCAGCTGCCACCTACTAATCCTTAAACCTTAATTAGTGCATACGCCTCTGCATGTAAGCTTAATATACATTTTTCTTATTTTCTTTGAGCCGGTTTAGCATGCGATCATGGATTCGGGGGACGGAAGGTTTTACGGGACACAGTTTGCAGTGAATATGTGGAGACCAGAAGTTGAAGTTCCCTCAGAATTAAGCTTGGCTCAGACTTGGCTGTGGTCTGACTCTGACGATGGTCTTAACACCATTGAAGCTGGTTGGCAGGTCTTCTATGCTTTTGGTCCTTCAACCCTAATTTATTTACATCTTGTTCATCATTCGCAATGCCAATATATTGACACAATCTTCATTTGCCCTACTTTATATATATATATATATATAGGTTTATCCAGGGATGTACGGTGATAATAATCTTAGATTATTTGTTTACTGGACTGTACGTAAGTTTCCATTTTTCAATTCTAATGGTTTCCTTTTTAGCCTCAATATTGTGACAAAAAAACGCTGCTGTTCTTTTGTCATAGTGTATGATATTGATAGAATAGAAAAGTTTCTCTTTCTATTTGAAAATTTACGAATCAAAATTCAGAATAATGTTTGTTGTAAACTATGAATTACTAAGTTCCTTTAGTATCCGCATATTTAGGCAAATGGATATCAACCAGGGTCAGAGTCATCTGGGTGTTACAACCACGCCTGCTCAGGTTTTGTTCAGAGGAGCAATCGTATCACTGTAGGAGGATCCTTATCTCCCATGTCAAATTACGACGGAGGTCAATACAGCCTTCCCCATGCTTATTTGGAAGGTACGTACCGACGTAGTAATTCTTTAGTACCCAAAGGAAAAGTCAATTATTTATTTATATTTTTGAATCTATTATCTCTTTCAAAAAAGAAAAATCTATAAACTGAAAAAATTATGGTAACTAAAATCCTTTACTAGTCCCCAGTTTAATTTTTGTTTCTTTTTTTTTTGTCACCTTTTAATTTTTTTTTATCTAATATATTTTTTCGTTATCTTTATTTTTTTATTTTTTTATTTTTTATTTTATTTACTTGACTCTTACTATTTTTCGTTATTATCAACTATATAATATGTTCAAATTATATCCCCCACCACTGCTTACCTTGGGGAATATATTAGAGCTAGGTAACTTGAGTTGACTCTCAAGTTAATTAGAACTGTTTCTAAACACAAAATGGACTTCTGATTTATTCAGAGCGGCGACAATTGGTGGCTAATGATCCGTGACGAGCTTGTTGGGTACTGGCCTGGCTCGTTGTTTAATTCTCTAAGAAACGAAGCAAAAAGAGTTCAATGGGGAGGTGAAATCGTAAACATGATGACCGGTGGGAGACACACCGACACAGATATGGGAAGTGGACATTTTGCTGATGAAGGGTTTAAGAAAGCAAGCTATTTCAGGAATATTATGACAGTTGACGGAGCCAATACTCTCAGGGAACCACAAAGACTTAGCCCTTGGGCAGCTCATGGTAACTGTTACAATGTTAAGCCAGGAAATGGTGGAACAAGCTTTGGGAATCATTTCTACTTTGGTGGTCCTGGTCGAAACGGTAACTGTCCTTGATATTTTTACCAAAAAAAAAAACTGTCCTTGATATATATACCGATATGTGTTAAAAGCCTCTACGACTTCAAATGGCTGTAATATAAATAAATAAAATGTATGTTTGAATAAAGAAATGAAAGAAAGAAAAAAAAACTATGAATATGAATATGGAAGTTTGATATAATCTTCAGCTTATATTTATATTGTCAATTGCTTTTGTCTGCCCCTAATGTTCGTTCAAACCTTCAATATTGGAATTTCTGACTTCCAATCCTTTTAACAACAAGAAACTGAGACTGTCTTTTCTTTAACCATGTTTGATTATGACGACATTTTTTTTGTTCTTTGTAAAAACTTTGTTTAGATGATTATGTAAAACATAGTTTGTTTTCAAATTTTACTAAATACTCTACTAGATAGATCGTATTTTTTGTGTGTACATATAAATTTTGTATGAGAAATCTCATTTTTGTGTGTATATATATTAATTTAATATTTTAATACGATTTTATTTTCACAGTTTTCCAAATATGATGTACTATATAATTTTTTTGGTTGAAATGTTAGTACTATATAATATCCTAAGATAAAATCAATTTAAGATGATGGCAAGTTATATTGTTAATTTTTTAAAACAATAATAGTTCTAAAACATATTTATCAACCTTTTTCATTTGATATTCTGACTGACATATCTAATTATATGTAATGTTATTTAGTACATATAGTTAATATTATATACTACTATTTAATTAATTTATAAATTAGACCTAAATTTACAAAATTTATCTTTTAATAGTTTTTTTCTGTTAATGAACACTAAACTACACTTTGGAAATCTTTTATAAGTTTAAGTTTACTTATATTTTCTATTATTTTTGCAACGTGGACAGTCTATTTTGACACGACTAATTTATCTATATTTATTGACTCTTAATATTTTGGTTTATTTGTATTGATTACCTTATATACTATGTTCTTCAGGGATGAATAGATAAAATAGTCTCTCTTTCTATATTTTTTAAAAAGTAATCTTTAGAAGGCAGACCTAAAATAATATTTTTGAAATATAATGATCAACCTTTTCATTTGATACTTTTACTGACATGTATAAAATAATTATATGTAATATTTTTTTTGGCTTGTTAAAAATTGGTACTCAAAAGATCTGAAAACAAAAAGTAAAGGAGTGATAATTTTAAAATTAGATCTCTCTCCTCATCCCTACCGAAATTACATTTTTACCCCTAATTCGATTTTAACAAAAAATAAATAAACTGATATTTGTAAAAATAGCGTATCATGTAAATTGTATGTTATCGCTATACATTATAAGTTATTTGATAACTTCATAGTTATATAGTTAAATTATTTATAGTTATTCATATGTTAGTACTATTAACTATGTAAATCATATGTTACCGGTATACATTATAAATTATTTGATAACCTCATAGGTATATAATTAAATTATTTATGTTAGCGCTATAAATTATAAATTATTTGATAAAATCATAATTATCGAGTTAAATTATTTATTATATAATTGATATCAACTAACTTATATATTAATATGTTAATTTATTATGATATTTCATCTATTATGTTAACTTATACATAAGAAACATATAAATGATATTATATAAACATAGAAACATATAAATGATATGATATAAACATATAAATGATAAAAGAAAAAAAAATATAAATGATATGTAAAAATTGTTCTAAAATTTTATGGATATCTATTTTGTTATGTGTTAAAATATTTGTTATCTATCTTAGGGGTAGCTTTGTCCAATTTAAATAGTTAAGAGAGAGAACTAATTAAAAAAATAGCATATGTAGATTCTTAATTTTTTTTTATTTGAGTACACCCATTATAGTTTCCCTATTTTCTAAGTACATTAGTTAAATTAGATACTACTATTGAATTAATTAAAAAATTAGACCTAAATTTACAAAAGTTATCTGTAAATAGTTTTTTCTGTTAATGATCACTAAATCACATTTTTAAAATCTATAATAAATTTAAGTTTACTTATATTTTCTATTATTTTTGCAACGTGGACAGTCTATTTTGACACGCCTGATTTATATATATATACTGGCTTTTAATACTTTGGTTTATATGTATTGATTACCTTATATATATGTGCTTAATTTAGGTTCTTTCAAAAAAGTAATCCTCAGAAAGTCAGACATATAATATATTTTAAATCTAATTTAAAAATCTAATCATACATTTAGATTACTAGCAAAAGTTTTCTTTATGAAAACAACTATAAAGTTATTTTTTTCTATTGCTAGATTTTATAGATATTTTCTATTCTTACAACACAAAGACTTATATATATATACACCATCTCCTCCAAATCAACTTACAACAATAACTTTGAAAGTTTGAGGTATACTAAATTACTAAGAATGATGCTTAATCATATGGTGACTTTCCTCCTTCTTTGGGTGACCATAGCACTTGCAGTCGGACCTTTGGCCGGAATGAGCAAACTTTCCGATATCCATGAGCAGAAGATCGAGCGACGGTTGAAACAACTCAACAAACCTGCCGTTAAATCTGTCCATGTATGTATTCACAATAATTTTTACCTCTAGTTTACTATTTCTCAATATTTAATTTCTTGCCTACATGCTCTTATGTACGTTACGCATAAATTTTTACATTGGACAGAGTCCAGATGGAGATATAATTGATTGTGTATGGATCTATCACCAACCAGCTTTTGATCATCCTTTACTCAAAAACCACATCATTCAGGTTTTGTAATACTTAATTTTTTCTTATTATTTCTGTCTCTCTTGAATTAATTACTCTTAACACTTCTTGTTTCTCTTGAGTAAAGATGAGGCCGAAAAGTGACTCGTTCATTAGAGACAAGACTAGAGATAACGACAAGACATACGTTATACATCAATTGTGGCGCACGAAAGGTGAATGTCCTGAGGACACTATTCCCATGAGAAGAAGAACAAGAAATGATCTTTTAAGATCAGATTCCATTAAAACTTATGGAAGAAAGAGCAACGCAACTATTTCTCCAACTATTAATCACCTCCGCCGTGATCGTCGGAGGGAAGTTCATGAGGTATGATGTCCCGGCTCAACACAAGAATTTTATGCTTGGTTTTATATATAAATATTTTTTCACTTAAACTACTAACAATCTCGAAGTAACTAGTAGAATATATTTTTTAAATTTCATGACCGGTTGATATTGTATTATTTTGGATTACATAATATTGTAGCATGCGTGTGTGCAAGTCGAATATGGTGAATACTATGGCAGCAAAAGCCGTATAAGTATATGGAAACCAAATGTTGTAAAAAATAGCGAGTTTAGTTTGGCTCAGACATGGGTCGCCGGTGGAGATTGGGGCACTGGTTTAAACACTCTTGAGTCTGGTTGGCAGGTAATATAATGTCGCGTTGTTGAAAATTTCACGATTTTTTTTTTTTTAACTCAATTCGATTTGATGATTAAATAAGTCGATACTCATAATTGGAGTTCTTATTATTTCTAATTTCATTTCTTTTTATCCTTGTAACAGATCCTATATGATTTGTACGGTGACAATAATCCAAGACTTTTCACCTATTGGACGGCAAGTTTCCTTTTTTTCTTATTAGTCTTATAATTGTCATGCATTGACGAAGGTTTGTTTACTAATATTTATTCGACCCAAAAATATGTATATATACAAAACATATAGAGCGATTCATACGGAGAGATGGGCTGCTACAACCTTGACTGTCCAGGCTTTGTTCAAGTGAGCAGAGATATTTCTCTTGGTGCAGCTTTCAACGCTATCTCGACCTACAATGGTGACCAATATGATTTCCTTCTAACTATTGAGAAGGTATAGTTTATTATCTAGACGTGCTGAATAAACATAAATTATAACATTTTCACAAAGACGGTCATCTCTAAATTAAACTTCAACAACTCGTTTTTTAGGATCAAGATAACGGACTTTGGTGGCTTAAATTTGAGACACATGTAGTCGGATACTGGCCAAGCGTCATAGTCCCAAAGCTAGCAAAATCAGCACGCAAGATAGTATGGGGAGGTGAAATTGCGCATTATGTTGATAACAGAGTGGAGCACACGCATACGCAAATGGGGAGTGGCCATTTCGCAGAAGCAGGGTTTAAGAAGGCGGCTTATTTCAAAAACATAGAGTACATCGATAAATCTAATTTTCCGATCACACCCTTTCCGCATAACCTCGAAGCTGGCGTCACTCGGCCTGAATGCTATAACCTCAAGGTTGGCTCTAGCCCAAGGTGGGGAACTTACATTTTCTTTGGCGGACCTGGACATAACCCTCGATGCCTATGAGATAATGTTAAAGACCTTGAGAAGTGACATGATATTTTAACATTTTCTTTTGAAGCTTGTTTGTGACAAAATTTTCAGAATTGATTTCTGTGATATAAACTTAAAAGCGTTCTAAAGATGATGTGAGACTTAACAAATTGGTTTTGCGTTTTAAGTAAAAAAAATAAATCCCTTCTATATTATATGACTTTTAATAAGCACGTTTCTTTTGCTGGATAAACGTAACAGTCATTGTCACTTGTCATTAATTCACTTTTCAAGTGCTACCTTGCACGATTTGTAACTTGCAGAAGATAGAACTAAAGAAGGATATGATAAACTTCTGTATATTTAGAATGAAACCTTGCACGACACCTTCCGTTAGATCGATGAGCTTTGACTTCTACGTTTACGTTTGCGATTTTATCATTCACAAAAAGAAGAATATGCTTTACACTTATCCTCTCTTTCTTGTTTCTATATTCTTGATGAGTCTAAGCAATTGGCACCAATATACTGCATTTGTATATAACCCATGACTCCAAGTTTCCTCTGTTTTTAACAACAACAACCAAAAAGGTATCCTTTGTTGACATATCTGTATATCAATCTTCCTGTGTATGTTCAGCTATCCGAAATATGGGAAACTGCCTTTCAATCTCGGATCCTTCTCTTGAAGATGTATCAAAGAAGACTCTCAAAGCACTTCCCGTCGAAACTGTCTTCAAGTTTCCCTCACCATTGCCTACTTTTACTCAAGGTTTGTATTATCATCAGTTTTTGTTCATCTCTCTCTCTCTCTCTTTCTCTCCTCAATTCGCTTGATGATTTTAGTTGACATGCATCATCAGGTGATGGTTTTGCGAAACAAACCATTGACTTGGGAGGTGGTCTCGAAGTTAGTCAAGTTTCGACATTCAACAAAGTTTGGTCCACTTATGAAGGAGGACCAGACAATCTCGGAGCCACATTCTTTGAACCATCCTCGATCCCTTCCGGTTTCTCCATCCTCGGTTACTATGCTCAACCAAACAACCGTCAACTTTTCGGTTGGGTACTTACAGCTAGAGATCTCTCAAGCAATACCTTAAAACCGCCACTAGATTACACCCTCATAGGAAACACCGAGTCACTCAAGATCAAACAAGACGGACCTAGTTATTTCTGGCAACCCGTTCCACCTGATGGATATCAAGTTGTTGGTCTAATAGTCACAAACTCCTCACAAAAGCCACCTCTAGAGAAACTACGCTGCGTTCGATCCGATCTAACCGAACAATGTGAAGCTGATACATGGATATGGGGAACAAACGGAGTCAACATCTCAAATCTAAGACCAACCACAAGAGGAACACAAGCTACAGGTGTCTCTGTTGGTACATTTACATGGCAACCCCAAAATTCCTCTCCTCCAACATTATCTTGCTTGAAGAATACAAATCTCGACTTCTCTACAATGCCAAATGGATCCCAAATCGAAGAATTGTTCCAAAGTTATTCCCCATGGGTCTATTTCCACCCAGACGAAGAATATCTACCTTCCTCTGTTAACTGGTACTTCAACAACGGAGCATTGCTATACAAGAGAGGCGAAGAATCAAAACCAACCCCTATCGAATTGAACGGTACGAATCTCCCACAAGGTGGATCAAACGATGGATCATACTGGCTAGATCTTCCTATAGACAAAAATGGTAAAGAGAGAGTCAAAAAAGGAGACTTGCAAAGCACACAAGTGTATCTTCACATCAAACCAATGCTGGGAGCAACATTCACAGATATATCAATCTGGATCTTTTACCCTTTCAATGGTCCGGCACGAGCTAAAGTCAAATTCGTGAATCTAACATTGGGGAGGATCGGAGAACACATTGGAGACTGGGAACACGCGACGTTACGGATCAGTAATTTCACCGGAGAGCTATGGCGAGTGTTTCTATCGCAGCATAGTGGTGGAGTCTGGACCGACGCTTGCGATTTGGAGTTCCAAGGAGTAAGTAACAAACCTGTAGCTTACGCATCGCTTCACGGACACGCCATGTATCCGAAACCTGGATTGGTGTTGCAAGGAGACGATGGGGTTGGGATAAGGAACGATACGGCGAAGGGTAAGAAAGTAATTGATACGGGATTAGGGTATGAGGTGATTGCGGCGGAGTATGAAGGCGGAGGAGTGGTGGAGCCGCCGTGGGTTAATTACTTCAGGAAATGGGGACCGAAGATTGATTATAACGTCGATGATCAGGTTAAGAGTGTCGAGAGGATACTGCCTGGCTTTTTGAAAAAGGCCTTTGTTAAATTTGTCAGGAAGATTCCTGATGAAGTTTATGGTGAAGATGGGCCTACTGGGCCTAAACTTAAGGGAAACTGGGCTGGTGATGAAAGTTAAACATGAATTTGTTTTTTTTCTTTTTTTTTTCTTATCCACATTGTTTGGTTTCATTCTTTGTTAGTTGTTTATAAAAAATTTCTTAAACATTTATGTAAAAAAGTTTATGTTTATGTATATAAATAAAAAATTATGTTTTGCTAAGTGAAAAACATGGAAATTAGTGAACAGATTTGTATCATCATAATAACCAAAATTACAAGGAGTTTATGAAAGGAACAAAAATTTATTCTCTTTTTTCAACATTATCATTCGCTATGACTTATATGAGTTTGATAGTTTTTTTCCCCAAAGTTTTAGAAATCCAGAGATCCACATTGTTTGCTCTCTATAGATTTTGCTGCAGATGCAAGCTTCTTTGTTTCCTTTCTATGATCACCATTTACGCCTCGCGGTCTTCCAATACCCATCTTAGGCAAACCACGGTTCAGTCCTTCCAACAAAACACAAGCTTTGCACCATTTCTGCATACCATGTTGTAATCCAAAACAATCAGACACTGTATATTAACTCTATTTTCTAATGATGCATGAAACAACTGACTCGAAGTGATAAAGAGAGGTCTCACCTGGCTAGAAATATACCCACATCTCTCACAAGTTCCTTGCTCAGGCATCTTTGTGGTTGTCGCAATTCTAAAATCTTCTCCAGATTTTATGATGTCCAGAATCGCCCTTGGCCTGCATTTTGTATAAGTTAGAGATCCCTATTTGACTCATGATTGTAGCGGATACTGTCAACTGACAGGGAAAAATGTCGAGAAAGAACCTTAGTCTTTCCAAATCCTTGATGAACTCACGGGCAAACCCACGATATGCATTAGGAGAGTATATGCCTGCAAACGCAACAAACAAAAAGTTGTCTTGGCTGAAAATGAAATCTAAGAACACAGAAAAAACGGCAAAAACTTTTTAAATGCACACACTTACATTCAGTAGAGAAGTAGTCCAGCTTCTTGAAATAAGCATACGTATAGCAACGTTAAGGTATACCACAATATATTTTGTTGACAAATTACAGTAATATAAACCCTTAGAAGTAATCAAAACAGAAGGATGCAATAGTGAAGGATATATGACAATCTCCTTTTCGTATGTATACTTGAAGGGTTTACATCTTGGAATGGGACCATCTTCACCAGTAGTAATAGATGTGCACCGGCTTAATCTACAACAGCCAATGTTACAAAAATCATTTCATTCAGGAATGTGAGAAATTATTCTTATGTTCGGCAAATTCATCTAAAACTATTTACCTAGCAATATCCCCACGCAATATGTTCAAGAGAACGGTTTCGGCTATATCATCTGCATTATGTCCAGTGACTAGCTTATCTACTTTCAATAACGCAGCTCCTCGATCAAGTGCCTTTAGATGAATCAAACATAAGCAAATTAAACACAAAATAGTTGTTGTTATGCAGAGTTATTGACAAACTGGAGAACAAGAAAAAGAAAACTGTTCACTACCTGTCGACGGAATACACCACAAAAGGTGCAATTGTTCTTCAAACCGATCATTTTCACAATCTCGTCCATTGTCCATCCATACAGATCTTTATATGAAACAATCTGAAGAGGCAAACCATACTGGAAGAAAGAAATAAAGAACCCATCAAATGAAGTAAAACAACGCCAAAAATTCAAAAAAAAAAAATCAAAAACACCACCACCTATCACACATAGAATTCAAAAAGAAGCTCTTACTTGGACTTCGTTCCGTTTAACGGTCTCAAGAGAATCATCACGATAACCCGTAATCCCTTCATCTATGGACAAGAGAAAGAGATCCAATCCATAATTGTGGCGTCTGTTCAGTTCTGATAACACATATGCCAGAACAGTAGAATCTGCACAAAGCCCCAGCTTTTTGGATTATTTGATGAATCAGCTATCAACTAATCAACCATCAAAACCCCCCAGATTTGGGATATATGCGCTTCCTAAGCTCCAATTAAATCAACTACCAGAACAATCTAATTGTGAAGAAAAAGGTCAACAAGAATCGAGAGATTCACAAAAAGCATAAAAGTCTGAAAGAGAAGCAATTACCTTTTCCACCAGAGGCACCTATAGCAACTCGTTCACCAGATTTGAACAAACGATTCTGAACAATGACTTGATGAATCTCCTCCTCAAAGACCTCATAGAAGCACTCTCTGCATATCTTTAAACACGCATACTCAATCACTTCTCAGTCATAAACACGAAAGGAGGACACTATAGGAACTAGCAATAGCCTGAGAAACTAAAGACTGTCACTTTCAGTTCTGTTCCAGTTCCAACGAACCAGATCGAAAATATTGATATGATTCCACATAGAGATCATAATCTAAGCAAGTGGAATTCATAAAAATAACCAAAGCTTCTTCGTAAAACTATCCTTTGCGAAAACCCAAAAAAAAAAACGAGATTCTCGACGACAAGAGAAGTTGAGAAGTTACCTGTTGAAGGGTTTTGGGTCGTTTGAGGACGGGACGTCTCAGGTTGCATAAGCAGCAGAGACGAGAGCCTCCTGCTTTCTTGCTCTTGGCCTCCATTTCTTACCGGAGCTCCTGTTTGCCGGAGGGGAAAAAAGGACCTAACTCAGAATCACAGTGAAACGTCATCGTTTGTGTATATGGGCTCTAAAAGGGCTTTGGCGGAATTCGGAGTGTGCATAAACTTTATCGTTTAGAGCCCATGTACAGAAAACGATGACGTTTCACTCTGATTCACCTGTAAAAGATGAATAAAGGGCTCTTTAAACGTTATCGTTTATGTGCATAAACTTTATTGGCACAAAACTTGGGTTACATGTCTACTCCATGCACATCTCCCATCTCTATTGCTTGATTGGTCACAAGAATCAGCGGTGGTGGTTCTTATGAGAAAGGATTCAGCCGAGACAAGATTTCGTGATGAGTTTCATTTACATTACTTGCTCTGTTTCTTCTTTTCCTCTGTTTTACTTGCTTTGTTTCTTCACTTGCTATGTGTATCTTGTTCCTCTCTTACGGGTGTTCTGTTTTCCTTACTTTACTTTACTTGCTCTGTTTCTCGAGGTGCTCCGTTTTTCTATGGTCTCTGTTTCTATACTTGTTATGTGCTCTCTGTGTGACCCTTAACACAATTGTTTTGCCAAGAAATAAAACCTCAATTGTTTCCTCTATTTACCAGCCAGTATGAGCTGGAAGAGATTATTTTGAACTGAATTCAGCTTCTCAAGAATAACCAAATCAAATACATCTTAACACTACATCACAAAGAAAGATAAGCTTTGATCTATATCCAAAGCATGGTGCAGTATGATCAATTGCTTGTGAATCAATATCCTGTTTCTCAGAATCTGTAAAATGGAGAAACTATGTAATGGATTAAGTTTTGATTCTCTTCACTTGGGTTTATCCAGTGAAGTAACTTCACCACCTTGATGTGTTTATCAGTTTGTCTACGTTCTAAATTTCTAAAGAAAACAAAAACAAAGATTACGAGACAGAAAGATTCTTGCTGCAAATAAATCACAAAGACTCATTCTTTATTCATCTTCAGAGTCTCAATACAAGGAAGATTCAGATACGAAAGAGCGAGTAGACAATATGGAAAAAAAAAATCAACTTGCATTAATTTTTTTATGACTTTGAAGTAATTCTTGTACATATGTTTTGCCTGTTACAGTATGATCTAAACTTATCGGTATGAACAAAAAATTAGGAAACTGAAACATAAATACTGTCAAACAGTAACCAAGTTTGAGTTTATGTGTTTACCAGATCAGTATTGTTGCATATTTTCCTTCTGTTCATTCTAGTAGTAGTGGTTGACGCAGAGGCTTTAGAATTGTGCTATCGAGTTCCATAAAATATGTTACAACAACTCCAACAAGCGAGCATACAGCTGGAACAAGTCCTAAGCCGTATCTTGTCACCGAGAAGTAAAAGTTTTGGCTGATGTTTACATCGACCTTTGGTGAAGTGCCTGCGCCATTATCCAAATCACACTTCAATCAACAACCTCTAGATATTAAGATAAGTTAGAAAGAAAAACAAAAAAAAAAAAACTTACTTTGATGTGACTGAAGAACATATAAAGCAAGTCCACATGACATTTTGTCTAAGAAGCTTAATGACCCACAAACGAAAGCACATCCACCAAGTTCCGAACCAATCAACACACTCTGCATACTGATTGCTGTCACCTGTAAAAAATGTGATTATCAAGACACAGATATTTAAGTTACATGTAAACACAAGAAAGAAGACGTCAGATATAAAAACGGAGTGTCTTACCAGCATCAATGCATTTGCAATGCCGATAAAGACAGAGATGGCATACATGTAAGAGTTAATGGTTCTGGACAATAAGAGGACTGATACACCACAGAATATCCAAATAATACCACCCGCACAATAATATGCCTTGAGGCGTTTTCCATTCCACGGAATCTCCTACAATTATGTCAAAATAGTTGTTACATAACACACTAGCAAGGGACAAAGTTTAGAGACGAAGAAGATAAATGCGTTTAAACTCTTTGTAACCTGAAGCATAACCGATACAACGAAGCTGCAGATGTAGATTATTGCGGGGATCTGAAAGTTAAACATTGATCACTGATCAGTAAATTTTGATGATCATAGAGATGAAATCCGATTACTGCATGTAATGGTTGTATTTCTTTTACCAGAGCTTTAGCGGATTGAGCCATTTGCAAATCATCAATAACAAAGAATGCAAGATATGCCTGTGAATATTCAAGTCAGCATGAAATGTAAGTATTGATCATATACAAAAGAAGCAAAGCATGAAAGATACAGAAAGTCGGAAACTAACCTGTGAAACATTCAATACTAGTCGAGTGAGGAGATAAACCATAGCAACTTGATAGTATAGAATTTTGTGGAACCAATAAGACCACGGTATTCTCGCTCGGCTAGTTTCTCTTAGATCTATCCTCAGCCTTTAGAAATAAAATATAAGCAACTCATTTTCAATAAAATATATCTGTCATGCATGAAACTTTGGTAAAGACTGATTTAAGCATTTCAGAGAAAAGTGTGCATTACCTTGGTTCCTTTGTCCCCATAAGAAATATGACCACAAAGCAGCATCCAACGGTGATGGATGAGTAAGCAATCCAACGATACTGTATACTTAGGCAGACTTAGAATCATATCCAAAAGGCATTAACATAAAAAGTCAATAGAAACACAAACCTGAGTTTCTGTATTTTCTTTGGTCACCGCCTCGCTAACACCAAATACAACTAAAGCAATCGCATATAAACCTAAATTAGCAACCTGAAATCACAGTCGATGGAAATGTTAAGTATTAAGCCTAAAAAGACATTTTAAAGAGCCTAAATAAGACCAAAGGGAGAGATCTAACCATGCTAAACGCGTTACGGGAGCTAGTTAGTGCTACTCTGCTTGATGAGTTCAATGTAATGCAATTGACCATAGCCCTAGTGAACATAAATAAAGTTGTAATAATGAACATGTTACTGAGTAAACTTGAGATTAGCCTAGAGAGAAGATAGAACTACAAAAAGAGAGATTGTTCTTTTACATGTGAGAAACCTGAGTAGCAGCCCATCCTATATTGAAGATAGCTGCAAACATGCTGTACGATAATGTTTCGACAGTTGAAGAGTTACTGTGCAGGAGTGAACAAGGCAAACAGCCGCCAAAAACAGAGGAAAATGAGACAGCAACTAATAAGGATCCTCCAGCATGCCAAATTTTGAAATGCCCAAATCTGTCAATCTGGTCATATGAAGAAGACAGATTTGTGGGATAAAATACAGTATTGTTCCATTTGATCAAAGATCATTTCATCTCAATCTAGATTACCTGAACTTAAACAAGACTACAAAATTACACAAGATTACAAATTTTTTTTTTACCAATTCACCAATGAAGATAGTAGCAAAACCATCAGCAACTTGACCAGAGAGCATGACAATTGCAGCATCCCTAGAGAACAAGAAAAGCTCAACTATTCTCACTAATTCCACAGATATACATATTGTTACAAATTACTCAGGAGGAAATATTGTACCTTGGGGAGAGGCCGATTTGGGTTAAAAACAAGAGGAGGTAAGTGAACCAACAAGAAGCAGTAATGTCATTAAGCATATGTCCCACTCCATAGTAGAACACAGACAACCTTCCAAGTGGTTTTGTCGATGGATCCTCATCATCATTCCTTCCGACAATCACAGGTGACGTCATCAACTAATTGCTTTCAGAAGAGACAAATTTTGCGTTTTTTTCGTATCCTGCCTACAATTCGAACCTGCAAAAGGTGTGCATGTTAGAGAAGAGACATCGAAGGATTTCAAATAAACCCAAAACCTGGAATGAACTCAATTGTGTGTTAAAAACACGAACTTTCAGATTGAAGAAATTGAAGGAAAAGGAGAATTTTCAGAAACGAGAAGAAAAACAAAAAAAAGGAAGAAACCTTGCAATCCCAAAATCGAATTATAGAATCAGATTATCAGACCCTTTTCGTATTTAGAGAATCGATTCAATAGATTATCCAATTCCCAAGGAACCGGGAATAATAAGAAGCAGAAAAAAAATAGACCAAGAAAAAGAAAAGGAAAAAGACAAGGCTGAATGAGAACGTTCTGTCTGTGCGAAGCTCAACGAGAAACTTGCATCATTTTATTTTCTACATGACGTTCATATTTATATATTTTTCAGCGTAAACACGTCATTCTTTTTTTCTGGGATTGCGTATTTAATATTATTAACGGGAATACTAAAAAGGAAATTAAAACATTGAAAAAAAAAAAAAAAATTGATTATGAAAAAGAGAGATATTAGAATAGTAGTAGTAGAAGATAATCTAGGAAACTGTGCGGTCATGTGATTGCTCTATATGGATATTTTTTTAAGGGGTGTGGGGACATTTTGGATAATATATGAGATACAAGGGTCATGGTTGCAACAGCTTCTTTCCAACACTAGTTGTATGTTGAATATATTTTGATTCTCTTGTGTGTTGCTACTTGCTACTACTTGTCTGAGTTGTCTCTACCAAAGTGCAAAACAATTATTTCATACTGTTTTAGCATTTTGTTTTATCTATAACAGTTAGCTAAGCATAATTTTGCCGAAATTGTCAACTAACTTTTGTTGAGTAGTTCCCCTAATCCCACTCATGGATATATCACTAACCAGAAGTCCTTGATTAGTAGTTCGATTAGCTGTTAACATTATGAAACAAAAACCAAAAAAAAAGCCAAGATTATGGTTGTAAATGTAAACTGTAAAGTGAACCAATTACTACAACTCTTAGTTCTGTGCCTTCATCAATTCAGTGATCACGTTCCATTTGAGCCTTGTGCTTCCATAGCTCTCTTAATTTGCTACTACCTGTCTGAGTTGTCTCTACCAAAGTGCAAACAACTATTTCATACTGTTTTAGATAAAACAGTATCAGTTAGCTAAGCCTAAATTCAGGTTTGCCGAAATTTTCAACTTGACTAGTTCCCGTAAACCCACTCTTGGCTATATCATTAATTAAACAGAAGTCCTTGATCACTAGTCCGATTGGTTGTTTACGTACGTTATGAAACAAACAAACAAAAATTCAATTTTATGGTTGTCAAGTGAACCAATTACACTAATAGATACGTAAAGAAACAGCAACTTGGATATCCGCAACTCTTAGTTTTGTGCCTTCAATTCAGTGATCACGTTCCATTTGGGCCTTGTGGTTCCCTCTTTGTTTTTATTTTATTTTCTTGTGGATCTGATCCCATATTTTTCTGATTTCTTTATTGGAGCAGAACCTTTATATTTATAATACAAAACATAGTTTATGTAAAAATAAGAAAATCTTGTTTTGAGAAGGCACGTTTTACAGTAGACAACAAATGAATTCATCTGTCGCTGAGAGGCTTACCGTAAATGAAATTACGTGTGGGATGCAGTGCAGAAGTGTTCAAACAAAAATATCATACTCAATAATAAAAATAGAGTTTATTTTCTCAAGTAAAATACTACAAATAAATTAAAAATTGCATCCAAGATAGAGAGGGTGACTGTAGCTCGTGACCTCGTGTCTTGTTTTGCGCCATACCAAAAAAAACGTCGAGAAGAGTTGTGACGAAGTGAAACTAGATTCATCATCATCAGTCAAAAACATTAACGGCGCAAAATCAAAGTCACCGCAATTGCATAAATCCAACGTCACATCCTTTTCACATTTTTCGTAGTTATTATCTAAACGAGCATGAAAATATAAAACATTACGAAGAAATGGGCAACAACTTTGATGAGCCCTAGCCATCGTTTACCAAAGAAATGGGTCGTCCGACCACTGTTGTTGTTATCAGATCCTGCGGTCGGAGGTCCGCTGGGAGGGTCAGAAGCTAGGCCCATTTTGTGTAAAGCTTGATCTATTTGATAGAACACCTGGGCTTCTGGAGATTTCTCGTCCAAGTGAAGGAAAGCTGAAACACCCATTCCACCACATAATTATGGATTCCTTTATTTTGCTTTTCTTTTTTTTTTTTACATCTAATTTATTTTCCTCCTATAATGAAACTTTTAAGAGATATATGATAGCTCATAACTAGAGTACTTAATACATGACAAATCTTAGATATAATTGTTTAGATGAAAGTGTTGATGTGCCTAGAATTTAATCATAGGTCCATATATTATATTTTGTATTTGTTTCTTTTTGTCTGCGCGGACAATAAATTGTTGGTGAACCTCGTAGATCTATATGTTTGTTCTTTTATGTTTCTTTATTATGTTCTTTCCGTTTTTTCCCATCAGCAACTACAACCAAACGGTCGTGCTAATTAACTAATCATAAGAAAATGCACAAAGAACCAAAAAAGAGAGTACTTAATACATTACAAATCTTAGATATAATCTTATATAAGATTATCATTACAAATTTAGATTTAGTGAGCAAGATACTTCTATATGTCCACAGCAAAATGTATCATCTAACTAATTAACCATTAGATCCCCTCTAGTTAGATTTAGTGAGCAAGAACTTTATAATGTTCCACACTAAATTGTACCATCCAACCAACAACAAATATGACTGCATTTTATATCGTAAAAATCTTAGAGAGGGTGATCAAGGTACGAACCAGGGCATTTAGCGACATCAGCAGTGACATGGCAAGCGGAAGGAAGAGTGTAAGAGAGAGAGATATTGATCTGGAGACCCAAAGCAGGATCATTCCTGTCTTGGATGATCACACAAATACAGTTCTTGTCCGAATCTAGAATCTGTTTGAGGCCGGAGCAACAAACCGGCGTCGGAGATTTTGCTTGCCCTTTCATGTAAGGAAGACACTTGGCCATACTCAACTTCTCTTCCGTACACTGTTCTTCGTTTTTTGCCTTATCTTCTTCTCCACCTCCCACCACCGTAGTCGCCACTGTTAAAGCTATTGATATCGCCACCACTAGAATAATCCTCCATGATTCCATTTTTCTTTTCTTTTTATATATATTTTTTTTATATTTTCTGATTTGATTTTTTCTTCCTTCTTTAAAAGAAAATGTGAGAACAATCGATCTCAAATATCAAAATCATTATCTCTATACGCGGAATCTGTGTAGTAACTTTATAATAAGACAAAAGCTTATCGACTTTATAAAGACTTTTGGTAAGTCAAGTTTCAACCCTCTTTGTTTTGTTCGGCCGACCTCTTTTTTTTTTTTTTCAGATCTGTCAAAAAAATGATTCTCGTTTTTCACGTAGATCAGTAGATGTACTCGACTGTGTTTTTGGTAGTGAAAAACAATCTTGCTTAGTAGTTACTATATTCATCCCATGTTATGGTTTGTAGAATTTAAAAAAACGGTATTGGAGGATATTTTCCTATTCTATTGTATTTACCTTATATGTAATTATCTCTTTAGGGTTTACTCTATATTTTGTATAAATAGGAGACTTTATGGGAATAAGAGGGTCAAGCCGTATTATTCCCATAAGGTCTCCTATTTATACAAGATATAGAGTAAACCTTAAAGAGATAATTTTTTCAGATCACGAAAATTTTTTCTAATTTTTTCAGCCTCTCGGCGTCTTTCTCTTTCGATTTTCATTGCCTCTCGGCCTCAATCTTCTTCTGTTTCATCTCCTCTTTGATATTTCTCATCTGCTACGATGTCTTTAACACCACATAACCCACGACACAAAACGATCTCTCCTTATGATCTTACTTCTAGTGATAACCTTGGTGCTGTTATTTCTCAGCCCCTTCTCACGGGCTTCAATTATGATGAGTGGGCGCTTAATTTTCGGATGGCTCTTTCCTCTCGGAAGAAGTTTGGCTTCCTCAATGGAAGCATACCACGACCTGCTGACGATGCTTCCGAACTTGAAGATTGGATTGCTAACAACCATCTAATCGTTGGATGGATTAAGCAAACGATTGAACCAAAGATTCGTTCTACGATTTCGACTCGAGAAGTAGCCAAAGATCTATGGGATATTATTCAAAAACGGTTTTCTCTCAAGAGTGGTGCTCGTTTGCAGCAACTCCGCAACTCCTTGGCGACTTGTAAACAAAATGGCTCGTCGATTGATGAATATTTTGGGCGTCTCACCAAGCTGTGGGATGGTATTGCTGATTGTATGGAATCTAAGAGTTGTACCTGCGGCAAGTGTGAGTGCGACTTCAACTCTGCTCGTGACAAGGAGATCGAGACCTTACGCATCCATGATTTCCTCGCCGGTCTCGACGACTCTACCCATGGTGTTATACGTTCTCAATTATGCGCCATCACTCCTCTTCCTGACCTTGATACGGTTTATCAGACCGTTTCTCAAAACGAGACGATTCGTTCCTCCGCAACAACTGAACCTACGGTGATGGGGTTTTCTACTCAAGTTCCTTCTCCTCGGCCTGGCACTGTTCCCACCCGTGATTTGACTCGACAATATACGTCTCGTTTTACTCCCGGCAACCGTGATCCAAATCGCCAGTGTACAGCATGTGGTCGCATGGGCCACGAAGCTGCTTCGTGTTTTAAAATCGTGGGATATCCTGAATGGTGGGGTGATCGGCCTCGTACTCGTACTGATGCTCGGGGTTCGCAAAATCTCACAACTGGACGTGGTCGTGGCTCCGCACCTCGCGCGAATGTTACTCAGATCGTCAATGCCAATTCCGCTTCTATTGACGCTTCCGACCTCACCGACAGTGATCGCCAAGGACTTACGGGGATTACTGATGATCAATGGAAGCTTGTTCAAAAGATTATCAACACCGGCAAAGCTACTGAACAATTGAGTGGTAAGCCTCTTAATGATTCGTGGATTTTAGACACCGGCGCTACTCATCATATGACGGGTCGTGGTGATTTATTGGTGGATATCCGAGAGATCACTCCCGTCTCTGTCCTATTACCGGCTGGTGCAAATGTCTTGGCCACTCAACAGGGCACAGTTCGCCTTACACCGGCTCTTTCTCTACGCAACGTTTATTTGATTAATGGCTTTCACACCAATTTAATCTCTTTTGGCCAGCTTGTCACAGATAATTATTTGGTGGGTCAAGTGACTGATAGACTTATGATTTTGCAGGACCGCAAGACGAGGACGCTGATTGGTTCAGGTGAACGAGAGGGGGAGGGATTGTATTGGTTTCGCGGGATCAACAATGTGACATCTTTGCAAGCTACTGTTCGTGATAATTCAGTCTTGTGGCATCATCGTCTTGGGCATCCATCTTCTCGCATTACAGGAATGATTCCTGGAGTTAGTACTAGTTTTCATAAAAGTGAGGATTTAATTAAGAAGTGTGATATTTTTTTTTGAGCGAAACAGACTCGTCAGATTTTTCCCGACAGTTTCAATAATGCTAAAGCGGTTTTTGATTTAATTCATACTAATTTATGGGGGCCATATCGTACAACCGCGTTCTGTGGATCTCCTTATTTTTTAACTATCGTTGATGATTTTTCCCGTGCTGTTTGGCTTTATCTTCTACCGGACAAGACAATAGTATCTCAATGCATCCGTGATTTCTTGGCATTGATCGAGCGTCAGTTTAACAAGAAAGTTAAAACTATTCGTAGTGACAATGGAACGGAGTTCATGTGCCTCACTCGATTTTTTCAAGAACATGGCATCGTCCATGAAACGTCTTGTGTGCATACTCCTCAACAAAATGGACGGGCTGAACGTAAGCATCGCCACATTTTGAATATTGCTCGGGCACTTCGGTTTCAAGCTAGTCTGCCCATTACTTATTGGGGTGAGTGTGTTCTTACTGCGGGTTATCTTATTAATCGCACACCATCGATTCACTTGAACGGCAAGACACCATTCGAACCTCTTTATGGCCATGCTCTGTCTTATACTCATCTCCGGGTCGTTGGTTGTCTTGCTTATGCTCATAATCTTGATCATCGTGGTGATAAGTTTACATCTCGTAGTCGTCGTTGTGTCTTCATTGGCTATCCATACGGCAAGAAGGGTTGGAAATTATACGATTTGGATCGTCATACTATTTTTATCTCGAGAGATGTGGTGTTTCAAGAGGATATTTTCCCGTTTGCATCATCACCTCCATCTCTTTGTTCTCCACTGCTCTCTATTGATGCTCCTGTGAGTGGTGATTTTTCGGCTGATGATGATCCACCTTCCCTTGTCGCGGTTATTCCTACCACGAGCGACACGGCTCCCCCGGCTTCTTCTCCTCCGTTGAGTTCGTCGCGTGAAACTTTGGCTATCCCACCTAGTCCGACTTCACCACCTCAAGCAACTACTCCGCCTCCGCCAGTTTCAGTTGATGACGGTCTTGGCCAAGGCAAATGTCAGAAATTTCAGAATGTTCGTCTACACGACTATGAGGTGGGAAATGCTGTTCTTTCCACCTATCCTCCCCTCTCTTCCTCTTCACCTGTTCCTCAGCTCTCCTCAGGTCCGGTCTATCCTATCTCTGACTATATCTCTTATGATAATTTTTCTCCCCAACATCGATGTTTTTTGACAGCCCTCTCTAAGAATGTAGAGCCACGCTCATTCCAAGAGGCCATGCAATATGAAGCTTGGTGAAATGCCATGGGGTTTGAATATGATGCATTAAAGCGTAATCATACATGGGATGATATTGCTGAACTTCCTCCTAACAAGAAAGCTCTTGGTTGTAAATGGGTCTATACTAATAAGCTTCGCTCCGATGGCACGCTCGAACGACATAAAGCACGTCTTGTTGTCCTTGGTAATTACCAAAAGGAGGGGATTGATTATTCCGAAACATTTTCTCCGGTAGCTAAGATGACTACGGTTCGTGTTTTTCTTGACATGGCGTCTAAGAGAAACCATGAGGTTCATCAAATGGACGTTCATAATGCTTTTCTTCACGGCGACCTCGAAGAAGAAGTTTATATGAAGTTACCCCAAGGTTTCTGTCCTCCAACGGGGTCGGGCGTATGTCGTCTACGCAAGTCTTTATATGGGTTAAAGCAGGCTCCTCGTTGTTGGTTTGCTAAGCTTACCGCTGCTCTACTTAAGTATGGTTTCCAACAGGCTCCGTCGGACTACTCTTTATTTGTTTATTTAAAGAAGGGTGTCTCACTTCGGATTTTGGTCTACGTCGATGATTTGATCATCTCCGGTAACTCGCCAGCGGAGATTCAAACTTTTAAAGAATACGTATCTACTTGTTTTCACATGAAGGACTTAGGCTTCCTCAAGTATTTTTTGGGTTTGGAGATTTCCCGTAATACGTCCGGTATTTATGTTTGTCAACGGAAGTATGCTTCCGAGATCGTCACGGATTCTGGCCTGCTTGGCTGTCAGCCGGCTGGTTCTCCTATGGACCAAAATCACAACTTAAGTATGGCTACTGGACCTCTTCTTGATGATCCCGAGAGCTACCGTCGCCTTGTTGGCCGTCTTATTTACCTCATTGCCACACGTCCGGATTTGACATATGCAGTTCACATCCTTTCTCGTTACATGCAAACACCACGGGAAGACCATTGGCTCGCTGCCTTGCAAGTTGTTCGTTATCTTAAAGGTACTCTTGGGCAAGGCATTTTGCTTCGGGCTGATTCTCCTCCTCATTTGACGGGTTGGTGTGACTCCGACTGGTCTCGTTGTCCTTTATCTCGCCGTTCCTTAACGGGTTGGATTGTCCAACTTGGTTCTTCACCAATTTCTTGGAAAGCTAAGAAGCAGGATGTTGTCTCCATGTCTTCTGCAGAAGCCGAATATCGGGCTATGGGTGAAGTCACAAAGGAATTGATGTGGCTAAAATCGCTACTTCGGGATTTGGGGGTTCATCATGATGCACCGATGACAATGAAATGTGATAGCCAAGCTGCGATTCACATTAGTTCCAATCATGTTTTTCACGAACGTACAAAGCATATTGAGCGTGAATGTCATTTTATTCGTGATCAAATCGTCAAAGGTGTCGTCAAACCGGAACATGTTTCTACGTCCATCCAACTCGCCGATATACTGACTAAAGCTTTGGGACGTAAGGAGTTTGATGCGTTTCTTCTCAAGTTGGGCATTCAAAACTTACATGCTCCAACTTGAGGGGGGGTATTGGAGGATATTTTCCTATTCTATTGTATTTACCTTATATGTAATTATCTCTTTATGGTTTACTCTATATCTTGTATAAATAGGAGACCTTATGGGAATAAGAGGGTCAAGCCGTATTATTCTTCTAAACCTAATCTGTTAAACGGTGTTGCTTTCGGTGATGAGTTGACAACACCAAAAGAGAAATTTCTTCTCAAGTCACTACAACTCTACGAGATATTTAGTAGAAGGATCCTTTTTTGAAGAGAGATTTACAACACTATAAGAGAAATTTACTTTTTTTTTTTTTACTCATTCGTCGGTCTACAAGTGACTTAATGATATCAATGCTGAGAAGTGAGAAGTCTTCCAGTCAAGGTTTAAAGACTATAAAGTAGTGAAGTTGACGCTAAAATTTAGATCTCGTCTTTAAATCTAACGTCTATTTTAAGTTTTAACAACGTAACAAAATCCACATTCACGCTGCTTTTATCAATGTCGTTCAGTTATTTAAAAACCAAAGTCAACCCTAGTCTTAATTATCTAGGTTGATAAAAATCTTGTATTTCCTACTGAATAATTTAAAAGATTAAAAGTATTTCAAAAACTTGATGATAAAAAACATTACGAGAGCAGCCCTAGAAAAAACTGTCGTTCGTACGTGTCTTATTTTGGGCCAAACAAAAATAGAAAGAAGAGGTCTCACGAAGTCGAGAACTAAATACATCAATCAAACACACTAACGGCAAAAACTAGCGTCACTGCAATTGCGCAAAAATCAACGTTACATACTTTTCACTTTTCGTTACTATTTTCTATACGATGGTGAAAATGTAAAAAACTACGAAGAAATGGGCAACAACTTCGAACCCTAGCCATTGTTTATAGAAGCCTTGAGCGTGGTTCGAGCCTGGTACAGAGGTCGTTCGACCACTGTTCTTGCCATCATCGGATCCTGCGGTCAGAGAGGGCTCAGGGGCTGAGCCAGCGGGACCAGAGGCTGGCCCGGTTTTGTTTAAACCTTTACCTAGTTGGTTGAACACTTGGGCATCTGGAGAATTGGGGTCCAAGTGAAGCAAAGCTGAAACACCCATCCCAAAAAAAAAAATGAGTTTACTCGGTTTGCATACTCTGTTTTAATCCTTAAATGTGCTACATATAGATGCATATTAAGTTATTAACATATGACTAATTACTTCACAACTTGTACTCATGTTTCACTCCTGGCTTAATTAGATGGTAACATTAACATAAATGACTTCCCCAATTAACTAACTATATTATGGTGGATTTGTCTTTTGTTTTTGTTTTTTTTTGTTTTTGTATAACTCCACCAAATCAGCTAATATAATTTAGTCCAAAATGTTATATAGATGGAAATTAAAACTAGAATTCTAACGTCTTAAATCAGTCAATAATGAATTAATGATAGTTTACAAAAGTCACCCAAATATGCAAAACATTAATGATTCTACACTATAATCATAAACACTCGGATTCAGTTTAGCACAAGCTTTCTATATATAGCATCCTACCAACTAATAATTTTTATTTGTTTCCACTAATCCAACGACGTCGCAAATTATTACACGGTGAAATTATAGTAGAGAGGTCAAAGGTACGAACCAGGGCACTTAGTGATATCAGCAGTGGCGTGGCAAACAGAAGGAAGAGCGAGAGCGAGAGAGACGTTGACCTGAAGACCCAAATCAGGATCGTTCCTGTCTTGGATGATGACACAAAGACACTTCTTGTTGGAATTAAGAACTTGTTTGAGGCCGGAACAACAGTCCGGCGTCGGAGATTTTGCCTGTCCTTGCACATAGGGAAGACACGTGGCCATACCAACCAACTGCTCGGTACATTCCTCCTTATCTTTTGCCTTATCATCTCCAGCAGCCACCACCATAGCAAACATTACCAAAGCTATTGCTGTCGCCAATAGATTAACTCTCCATGACTTCATTTTTTTGGTTACTACTAGTATGATGTTTTTTCTTTTTTCTTTTCAGTGTTATTGTTGTTGTGATTTCCACTACCATTCGTTTCCTACCTCTCTTACGATTTATATAGCTTTAAGGGTATTTTACAAGTTTATTATTATTATTTTTATTGTGTGAGTTACGTGATGATTGCGTTGTCGACTTGTCGTCACGAGAGGTTTATCGATTTTTCTTTTACTTTTGTTTAGGGGATGTGATGGAAAATTGTGAGAAGAATAGAGATCGTTCTGTGAGATTGTGTCGTATATATGCGAGCGAACATGTGACCATTATCTCCATAGACAAGCCGACCGACGGATACCACTAACTGACTAAGCTAAAGAACATGAGACAATCGTAAAACTAACAAGGAGCCATAATTATCAATTGTGGAGTACCATATTTTACCAAAGACTATTAATTATCCATTGTAAACTATTTTTGGTAAGTCACTTTGTCAACTTTCCTTTGTTAATTAAATTCAAAAATTTAATTACTTTTTAAAAGGATTTTTTTAGTTTTTGTCAATAAAAAAAGACTTCCAGTCTTGAATATTGAGTACTGTTTTTCTATGGAATTTGTTGTGTAATAATTTTTTTTTAAAAAAATGATACTACCAAAAATAATAAATTATTTAGTTCATTTATTGTTATTCTTAACAAAATTATATGTCGTTAATTTAAATGATCAGGTTTAAATTGGAGTTATTAATATGCTACTAAAACTGATACTGTAACTATTAACATTATCTTTGTGTCTTATAAAGCTGTTTTTCAAAAAGTTATTCTCCAAAAAAGTTGTTCACGAGATGTTTGATGGCTAATAATTCATTTTAGTATAAAGTATTTGTACACCTGATCAGTGCCCATCATATATAGTATTAGAAACAAAAAAAAAAGAACTAATGGCCAAAGCTACAAAACAAAAATGTTGTGGGAATATGCATAAGAAATGGAATGAAGAAGAGAAAAAAGGGACCATCACTACTACTACACCAACCAACCCATCGAGTGGAAATGTCGACTGAGTGGGTTGACTTGTATACATACTTTGAGTCTTTGACACTTGGTCCAGTCTTTTGGAACCCTACCTACACGCTACGACACCATTGCATCATTGATCGCGTCACTCTTTGCCTTACCGTGTGTAACTCACTTCGTTCTTATTGGGCCCTTTTACTTCTTCACATAAACCAAGAAAATGCTACGTTCTATCACGGCCCATTAAAACAAATAAAAGGTTTTTATGGGCCTTCCTTAAATAAACTACTAATATTAAAAAACTTTTTAAGATTCTTTCTTATCTTCACCGACTCATCAGCAAAGAAAAACAAAAAAAGAAACACTCGAAGAAGAAGGAAATGGGAGTAGTAGTGATCGATGGATCAACAGTACGGTCATTTGTGGATGACGAAGAGCAGTTCAAGAAGAGTGTCAACGAGCGGTTCTCAGCTCTGGATCTGAACAAAGACGGCGTTTTATCGCGATCGGAGCTACGAAAGGCCTTCGAATCCATGAGGCTGCTTGAATCTCACTTCGGCGTTGATGTGGTGACTCCTCCTGACGAGCTTACGAAGCTCTACGATTCGATCTTCGAGAAGTTTGATACGGATCACAGCGGTTCAGTGGATCTTGAGGAGTTTGGATCGGAGATGAAGAAGATCGTGCTCGCCATTGCTGATGGGCTAGGGACTTGTCCGATTACCATGGTCTTGGATGATGATGAGGATAACTTTCTCAAGAAAGCTGCGGATTTGGAAGCTTCCAAGCTTGAGAAGGCTTCTTCGTGATGGTTATGAAGTTTAATGATCTTTTCAATTAGTACTGTTCTTCGTCTTTGTGGTTGTTCTTGTTTTGATGTAAGCGAGAGTATGAATAATAATAATAAAGGGGACATGAATTTGTGGATTTTGAATTGTTGTGATGCAAATTTTGGATTGACTTTGTTTGAAGATTATAACCAGACTTGGGATTGAAGAAATTGGAAGATTAGAGTTTTGTTTTAAGATAATTGGAAGTACTAATTCGGAAAAAAGGAAAAATATTACGTCGCCTGAGAGATTCGAACTCTCGCGGGGAAACCCCATGTACTTAGCAGGCACACGCCTTAACCACTCGGCCAAAGCGACTTCTTGCCAAAATTCTCGAATCATTGTTTTATAAAGGAATGAGATGAAATCATGAAATCTATGGTAGCTGTTAGCACCAACATTTTTAATATCAGTTGTACATATTTTTTGTAACTGAATTATTAATATCTGAAATTCTAATATATAAGTTAATAGTGTTTATGTAAATCTTTGTGTCAACATTTTATAACAATATGTAAACTCTCTTTCCCAACAAGTAGGTGTACTAGTAAATTTTATATTCTTTATTCTATAATAAAAAGATGATTTACATCATCAACTTCTCCAAATTCAAAATCTTAATTTTCCGCGCCTTGTAAGACAATATGTGCTTCCCATACGAATTGAGATTTTGGAATGCTGATAGCATACTAACATTAGTAGAATCCACTAGATTTCAAACTTTAGCAATGATTTTGTTTCCATTCTTAGTAAATATAGGTACATGGAATTTTGAAATTTTAACCATTTTATGAATCTTGACCGCTAGCATATTATACATAAAGGGAAAGCAGATCAACGCAATCTGACCAATACCACAAGAACTAAAATATTTGACTCTCTTAAATTTTAGAATCTTTGAATATTGGAAGGAAATACCAAAAACCTTAGAGATACGTTGTTACAAGCATCCCCAATTATATTATAAAAACCTAAAGAGATGCCATGTTTTTTTTACTAATTAAATTCCCTCTCAACCACCTAACTTGTCAATATGTCTTCCTCCTCTAACCAAAACCAATTGGTGATGTGGAATTACATGTGCCTAGAATGTGACGTCGATATCGCGGTTATCGCTATCCCATCTTCTTCCTCTACTTCTCATCCACACTGTCCTCAATGTGGTATCATTTCTTCTTTCATTTCTTCGGGCCCTTTTGGAGTTAGATCTGCTGAGGATGATGATAGCGAAGACGAGGAGGAGGAGCAACAAATTCTCGATCCAATGGAAGCAATTCCGACCGTTGAGATCTCATCTTCAATGGTGCGTGGTTCTTCCTCAGACGAATCTTCTTTGCTATGCGCCATTTGTATGGAAGATTTCGTTGTCGGAGAATCTGCTAGGAGATTGCCATGCAACCATTTATACCATAATGATTGCATTGTTCCTTGGCTCACAAGTCACAACTCCTGTCCTCTCTGTCGCTGCCGGTTGCAATAGCTACTGGAGACGACAGTGGTTCGATGTATTGACCCTAGAGGATGACTTGGAGGAAGATACGTACGGGACTCACTCTCGATGTGTACCAAAATCTAAACGGCTAAATGTTGTAGGGTTCAAATCTATATATATATATATATATGTGTGGATTTACCTATATTTCAACAACAAATTCATCAAATGGTATTCTATATTTTCAATGTACGTTCCAAATTTATCTCATCACAATTGATGAAATATATACATTGAGCCTCTATGGGTGTATTTATTCCTATACTTTAATATCTGTTCAAGTATTTACGAGTAACTAAACCTTTTTCAAACATTAAATCTGATCAGTCTTACTAGCTAAGAAGACCTAATAATTGGGTTTGGGTCTGCTTAATAAATAAAGAGACAATTGTGAATCCTAAACAAAAGCTAGTGTTATAGTACTGAGTGGAGGAAGGCAAAATTCACAAGTTAATCATTTTAGTTATATACATCATCACTGGTAAAATCATGAAACGAAATTAATGAACTTCACTCTCTCTCTAGATATCTAAATCGATTGTACAGAGAAGCAGACGCATGAGTATATAGAACAAGTCTTCCAGTCCGCGTAATGGAATTAAATAATGACTACATATACTTTTTTCCCCCAAAATTTAGGTTATTAACCTAATTTTTTTTAAACATACAGCTATTACCTCTAGGTTTTATAAAAACAAAACGCGCCAGTATCAAATACTACTATTGTTTTCCTTTATAAATAAGTTTGACTTTAAAATCCGTTGACGTTAATATAAATAGAATAACTACCAATATTGAAAACTAATATGACATCTCCTTATGATCATATGCTATCGTTTACAAGAATTAATTAATCAAAGGTCAAAACCACCAAATAGTGCAATATTGGTATACTGCATATATAAGAATTCACCAAAAGATTAGTGTACTGTATGTATGTAAAACCAAAATTTTCACGCTTAGGCCAAAGCTACATCGAAAGTCTAACTACATAGGTAGTAGAGTTAACAACATATATATATGTGGGTTTAACTTTGAATTTAACAACTACAAAAATTATTTGTAATTTTGTAGAAGTGATAAGCCAATATGCTTTAATTTGTGACAACGATTAGAAATTAACATTTGTTCTAAAGACAGTCGTTCTAATTCGTGTCTAATTCTATTTAAAAAATAAAAATAAATAACAGAAGTCAACGGAGGTTAAATCCACCCTGTCGCTCTTGTTAGCAAGCGAAAGTCAACTATTTTTTATATAAAATTGCAACTTTTAAAAGTAAATAAAAAATAATTGTATGTTTGTATTGTGTCATGTAGGTCATTTTTGGTATAAAATATTTCTTTCGTGCGTCTGCTTCTCTTCTCTGTGCAAAACTTTATATTACAACTTAATTAAAAAATGAACCAAAACGAGAAAACAGAATTTTGCTTCTAATTAAGCATACTATGGTACTAATGACATATATATTTGACAAAAAAAAAAATGACATATATATCTACGTGTCGACACCTCAAACATTACAGTGTAGATGAATGACCTCATCAATATGTTTAGTGTCTAAATACATAGAGATGACATTACAAAACTAGCTATTTTAAGGGGGGTTAATTAAGTTGGCTAGAAGGAAATCTTTGGTTTTAATAAAACTAAATTCAAAATAAATTAAGATCATATGAACGGCAATGATCTTTATCTTCTGGTTTCTTAACCTTTCCCACCTTGTTATTACTATATAAAAAAAAAGATATACGAGATCTGATATAAAAACAAAGCATCATCAAACCTAAGAAAATTCACTAAACAAGTAGGATTGGATTTAGGTCGGTTTTCAAATGACAGTTCCCTGAGTCAGATTTTGACCCCACAAACTATAGAAACTGATATTAAAATTTGCATACGATTTTAGTTTTCCATCTATTAATATTGTTATAAGTTTTGATAAAGTTAAATTCCACACACGACGTCACGAGACAAAAGAATATAACGAGACTATCAATTATTTGAACATGTAGCCAGAGACGTCCAATATCATAGTTTCATATCAGTTAGACAAAAATGAAACTTGTAATAATTAAAAGAAGTATATACAGAAACTAAAACATAAATACTTCTGAAAGTATATGAAAGCCAATCCCAAAACGTACCAGAAAATAACAGACATGCCGACAATTAACACACGCACACCCACAAATTTGCGACCAAAAAATATATATATGACTCTCTGATCACGCTATCTATGCTTACTGCTTAGATATTTTAGTTAATTATATACAGTAATAATAATAATATTATAGCTTTAGATATATCGTCAGTTGATTAATCACAAATCATAAACACATCATTTTATATTCAGACTGTGAAAAAACATAACTACAATTAATGTTCTCAAGTAACATAATATGATATAAGTACACACAAAACTTTATTTTAATCAAGTTGTTTGTTGTGTGTCATGGAGGCAGGTCCATAGCTGTTTCGTCCTACATCTTCTATTTCATTTTCATATTCAAGTTATTTGTTAATTTAATGTTATTGACTAACCAACAATCCAATATTTTAAAATTTTATATAACCATTTATATATATAACCATCCAACCGCCGCGGTATTATTCCACGCCATACGAAAGTGTTTTGTTCAAAGATCTTCTCTCAATCGTTTCTGATTATTGTTTGTTCTCTTGAACTGTGAGAGATTTAATGGAGATTACTCAACTTCAAACTTTTCATGAAGGTTCAAGCTCTAGGGTTTCCGTGAACAAGAACTCACAAGTAATATCCAAGATCAAGCCCAAGATCCGCATAATCCATATATTCGCACCGGAGGTAATCAAGACCGACGTCAAGAACTTCCGTTCACTCGTTCAAAGTCTAACCGGAAAACCAGCTGCTGGAGAGGCCAAAACCGGTAAAAAGAGAGCCAAACCGAGAATTCCAACGTCCCATGAACCGGCTTGCGGAGACCATCAGCCGGTCAACCGGTTTTTGGGTTTCTCCGGGTTATTAGCAAACGGAGGAAACCGCCAGGTGAAAGAAGAGTGGGGATCAGGTGATCAGAGCACTTTGAACACAAACACTTACTTTGACTTAGAAGGTTTGATTCAAGATGTCGGAGAAGATTACTTCTCTTCGTTCCCCATGAGATCTTCTTCTAGCTCACAAGTTGAAGGTTTCATCTACAACAACATCAACAACAACAACAACTTCGATACAAAGGGTCATAATTCGTCATAGTTATATATATAACAGTTTAATTTCTAGGGTTTTTCAGGCTTTCTGATTCTGCAAATCGCATTATTTTGGTGAGATCTAATCGAAAGGACGAAGATCATATGTTGTGGGGAGAAATGCATATAAGTTGTACATAGATATCTTGATGAATTTTTGAATTTGATGGGTACGACGAGAAACTTAAACATTTGGTGCAAAGCTGATTTTGCCAAGCTTGAGAGTTGTGGTGAAGAGTTTAACTTACGTGCAGCCCTTCTAGGAGAAGTGACTGTATCTAATTAAGAGGTTGTCGGCGGTCGAAAAACCCTAGTTGTTTTAGTATGTAACTTCATTGATGTGATATTATTGGATGTGTGTTAATTCTCTGGTGTGCATATGTGATCTGTACTTTTTTGGGAAAAACATGTTTGTATGGTAATTAGAACAAATTAAGATTGACTAGTTTTCCATTGTGATTGATACAAATGAATCATGTATTCATGTGGTTGACTGTATATCGATATTACATATGTCAACGGTTAAGTAAAGTACACTAACTAAACTAACATGTAAGGATTCCTGAATACTATTAAAGGTATCTTAGCAAGATCTTAAGCTAAAATTTGTCAAAAAAATGATCTTATACCATTGATAATGTTGGTCTAAGAGATTCATGTTGTCTTTGTGATATACCCTTTTTAGCACTGCAGTGACAATATTAATGTCTTGCTCTTGGTTAGAAAGTAGTTTAAACTTACTGATAATTATTTACAATGTTGAAAGTTAATATTATTACAGATGTATCAAAATATTTTATTTAAAAGTCAAATCTTAGTGACAAAGATCTATATCAAATATGAAAAAGACATTATATCTATTAATCTGATAGTTTATAGTGATAATAAGCAAACGCAGCTCTAACTGAAATTAAAACTTAGTTTGTACAAAAGTTCTAATATTTAATTAGTCCATTTATTTTTTCAGGCTGTATGATTCATTTGTCAGTTAGTCTAATTAGGTTTGGTGGCATAGATTAAACCACCGGATGAGAGAAAAAAGACAAGACTATCTATCAAACATGACTTTTCAAGGTTTGGAATTAGAACATTCGAGCTGCTTCAAAGCTTATAGAGATTTAAGTGCCCGTGACCCGTTGACCATCTCATTTAAAGCCAAATATTTCGGTCTGGTTTCCCAAAACGCGAAAAGGCCAAACTCTAAGGATCGATCAGTGTTTCGGTTTAATTTGGTTCTGGAACGTCAACATTTTTACAAAAAAAAAAATTCTTTTGTAATGTTCTGTACATGTTATAATAATTGACTAGTGTACTTTTTCAGGCATTACGATTATATATATTTTATAACTAGTCTAAATAGGTTCTGATTGCACAATATCGAATGAAAACATTGTACAGGACGATTTCAAACCTGACTTTTCTAGGTGTTGGAAACGTTCCGGCTGCTTGAAAAGCTCATAAATATTAACAAAATATAATAACGACAAAGGAAACTTATCTGAACCAAAAATAAACCACACCGGTACACCGAAATTGAATTTGAGATTTGTAAATGACCTCGTCAGCAATGAGATCGCATTATTCGATTTTAATTATTCCGGTATGTTGCAAGGATTCTGTACCCCCGGTTTAGTTTGGTTTGTCTTCTCAGAGTTGTAGAGGGTCAAAATTGGAAATATTGTGTTATAAACCTTCCCCAGCCAGCTCTATTTACAAATGTCATTTGCTCGCCTTTCGCCGTATTATATAATTTTGTACATCACACGCAGACGCAGCAGCTCTACTTCATTTTGTTTTTCCTTCTCGATCTCCATCAAGCTCCCGACTCTTTGGTAAGCTTCGTCGCTGCTTCTTAGTAGTTTCTCATTTAATTTTGTTCTTCCATTACTTTCGGAGAATGTAGTCCATGTTTTTGTTTGATTCTGGAATCTGAAATCTCCGGTGAATTGCGCTGATCGAATCTTTTGAGTTTCCTTGAATTATTTGACCAGCTAATAAGCCTTGCCTCTTTTATATGTTTGTTTCTGATTCTGGTGAGTGTTGATCGCTTGAGTTTTCACGGATCGGCTTTTGTTTTGAGAATTTGGTGGATACTGTCTTGTCACAGGTTTTTGAGTTTTGGATAATGGTGTTCTTCCGCAGCGTATCGGCCTTTTCTAGGCTGAGGTCTCGCGTCGTGAGTATTTGACAATCTTACTTTGAGTTTTGTGTTTGTCTCCGTTTGGTTTCTCTGTTTAATGCTAATAGATTGGTGATCGGATCTATGTAACCAGGGGCAACAATCTTCGCTCAGCAATTCTGTTAGATGGCTCCAGATGCAGAGCTCTACAGACATGGTAATTTTCTCCTTTCTTTTGTATTTTTTCGCGTCTCAAGCTCATCTTTAAATGCGTACTAACCTTCATATTTATGTTTGATTTATTCATAGTTGAATAGAGAATGGTCTTTACTTTTCTGTTTCAATATTGTACATGTTGCTTGTGGGGTCTTTTTTTTACATTTTGTATAAATGGTGGCAATGCAGGACCTCAAGTCGCAGCTGCAAGAGTTAATTCCGGAACAGCAGGTTAGCGTAGACCCCCTTTATATTAATTGAAAAGATGAACTTGTGTATTATAGTTCTGATGGTTGAGATTGTTCTTACATGCTACTTGCAGTGAATCTCTTTTGCTTTTCTACTTCCCTCTTTCCTCATAAGATTTTCCCAATTTCAGGACCGTCTGAAGAAACTCAAGTCAGAGCATGGGAAGGTCCAGCTGGGAAACATCACTGTTGATATGGTAGAAACAATGATGATTTTCACGGTTTTAGTTTGTTTATATGGTTGTCACCTTTCTCATCATAATCTCCTTTTAAATTAAGGTTATTGGTGGAATGAGAGGGATGACTGGATTGCTTTGGGAAACCTCATTGCTTGACGCGGATGAGGTACTGATAACTCTTTGTTTATAGTTATAATTACTTGGTTAGATCCTAGATCTCGAATATATCAAGTATTCATCGTTCCCGTTCTAAGTCTGTTGTTGCAATTTTTCTTATCATTGTTTCAGGGTATTCGTTTTAGGGGCTTAACTATCCCTGAGTGCCAAAAAGTATTACCTGCTGCCCCTTCTGGAGCAGAACCATTGCCCGAGGGTCTTCTATGGCTTCTTTTAACTGGAAAGGTGTGACTACTCTACATTTTTATAAGTTGGTCATGGGTACTTCGTTCAATATATCATCTAGTGATATTCTTTCTTACCCCTATTCATAAAGGTACCAAGCAAAGAGCAAGTTGAAGCACTGTCGAAAGACTTGGCAAGCCGTGCTGCTGTGCCAGGTTTGCCTATTTACATTCTGGCTCTGGCTGGTTACAGAAAAGCAGTCTGTTATTGGCTCATCCAACCTTGTTCGACATAAATGTTTTTTTCGTCTTACTCTTCACTCAATTCTTAACTTGTATCCAATTATGCAGATTATGTGTACAATGCCATCGATGCCCTGCCTTCCACAGCTCATCCAATGACTCAATTTGCTAGTGGTGTTATGGCCCTCCAGGTGTGGATCTGTTTACTCGAATAGTTGTTTGTTTGTTCTTGTTGTGAGATGGGTTAAAGCCTCTTCTTCTTTTTTTGCCATAAATACACAATTTTCAGGGAATGCTAATTTTCTTTACATGATATCCAGGTGCAAAGTGAGTTCCAAAAGGCATATGAGAGTGGAATTCACAAGTCAAAGTATGCTTTTGAAGTTTCTGGTATAGATATTATTAACGTTTTATAGTAGCTGGCATCATAACAATGATCTTTTTGTCTAGGTTCTGGGAGCCAACATATGAGGATTGCCTTAACCTGATTGCTCGTGTTCCTGTTGTAGCTGCCTATATTTATCGGAGGTTAGTGAAGAATATATATTTGTGTAATCTTTTTCATATTTATTGGAAATTTTGTAATCCATTGTTTCTTCTTTGTATTTTACCTTTCCACTCAATTATTGCAGGATGTACAAGAATGGTGATTCCATCCCCTCAGATAAATCTTTGGATTATGGTGCAAATTTTTCCCACATGTTGGGATTTGATGATGAAAAGATGAAAGAGCTCATGAGGCTCTACATCACTATCCACAGGTCTGTATTAGTTTCTCCTAAATTAAGCTTAAACTTCTTGTGTTTATTATTGTTTTTAAGACCTAAAAGTATACTGTAGCATGATATTTGGTTTTTCTACTGTTTTATGTTTGCTATAGTGATCATGAAGGTGGAAATGTTAGTGCGCACACTGGTCACCTGGTATGCATTTCTTACAGCCTCTCCATGTTTCCTGTAGAGGATTGACCTTTTAATGTTTCTGATGATTCATCTTTTGCTGAAATTAATACTTGTGCATTTAGGTCGGTAGTGCACTATCAGATCCATATCTGTCATTTGCTGCTGCATTAAATGGTTTAGCTGGGCCACTCCATGGTTTGGCTAATCAGGTATTCTCTCTTGTCTATATCTTGAATAAATGTTAATTCTTCAATTTACGTCAGAGCTTCATGAAATTTCTCTGTTCTATATTATCTAGGTAGCTTGTGTAGTTGTACGGTACAATGATAAGTTGGTGGAACAGATTCTTAGACTCTTATTTGTCTTGTTGCAACAGGAAGTTTTGCTTTGGATCAAATCAGTTGTGGAGGAATGTGGAGAAAACATATCGAAAGAGCAGTTGAAAGAATATGTTTGGAAGACATTAAACAGTGGCAAGGTAAAAACATGAAATTCCTCTACATTGCATTCTTTGCTTTATTTTCTTGTACATGTATGTTGTAATGTATCGAGGACAGTCTACTATAAATCTCTGTTGACGACTCTTGATTTGTCTGCAGGTTGTTCCCGGATATGGACACGGTGTTCTGCGCAAGACTGATCCAAGATATGTATGCCAAAGAGAGTTTGCCCTGAAGCATTTACCTGATGACCCTCTTTTCCAGCTGGTACTTTTTTCCCCCCCATCTTTTCTGTTGCGCTCTCAAAATTCTAAATGTCCAGTGGCTTACAAATCCTTCCTACTCTGTAGGTGTCAAAGCTTTATGAAGTTGTCCCTCCTGTTCTCACAGAGCTTGGAAAGGTAATATTTCTATCTTTTCGCGTTAAATAGAGGTGTCGTTTCATGTAAATGGATTACATAGAAAGTATGACACGTCTGAGAACCGGTCATTTGAAAATTGTATATATATTTTCTTACAAATCCTATGATGGCCTTTTACAGGTGAAGAACCCGTGGCCAAATGTTGATGCTCACAGTGGGGTCTTGCTGAACCACTATGGTCTAACCGAAGCAAGGTACTTAAGAAGCAGATATCTCCTTTAAAGTATAATTTTGCACTAGGATAGTACTCAGAAATACATAATGTTATGCGTTTTATAGGTACTACACCGTGCTCTTTGGTGTTTCAAGGAGTCTTGGCATCTGCTCTCAGGTATCTATATATTTACACAATACGCCTTTGTTGCTATGTAAGACATAACTCATATGATCGCTATTGTCAATTGTGTTTGGTTCATAGCTTATATGGGACCGAGCACTTGGACTAGCACTGGAGAGGCCAAAGAGTGTTACCATGGACTGGCTTGAGGCCCACTGTAAGAAAGCTTCATCTGGTTAAGCCACCACCCCAGAGTCCCGATTCAAGCTCTCCCACATGCTTGTTTACTCAAAAGCCATTCTCTTCCACACTGAATAGCTTTATTTTCTTTTTACCTTCTATTAACAGAAGAACCATTGTTTCATGTAGAAATTTCTTCTTTCGAGATTTTCTTTATTTCTTTGGATTTGAGAAACAACTGCTTGGTGCAAATTTGCATTGTCGGAAAACTCAAGATAATAATAAAAGAAACAGTTGTACTCAATTCGCATAAACATCCAACAACATCAATATAACTCATGAATAAATACTCTTCTTGATTTATGATATACAAAAGAAGAAACAAGAATGCAAAAGAGAGAAGTGCGACATGACGGGATTAAGAAGAGCTGGGCTTGTTGGTAGTAGTAGTAGTATCGTTATTAGGAAGGTCATCATCAGCAAGAGAGGCAGTGAAGTTAAGTCTCTCCTGAGTGCCGGCAGTAATAACGGGCATCCAAACATCGGCTGTGCCGCTAAGAAGCGTCTGAACTTGTGGATCAGAAGCAATGGCTGATGATATCATCTCATCCACATCGTCTAATTTGGCTGATAACTTATCCAACTCCTTAGCTATATCCACCTGAAAACACACACACAAACAAAACCTCAGTTTTAGGCTACAATGTGTGTATCAGAGTATGAATGAAGAGAGGACACATGACCTCATTGAGGTGTTGAGCAGACTTAGATGGGACTTTGGTGACTTCCAAACCAAGAGCTTCGATCTTAGAACGTAGCTCAACCTCTTCTGTATTTGTCAATGATTCCACCTTTAAGAAGAAAAAAAGATCAAAAAAGCTCTACCGATGATGGATTGGACATAAACTGGGAGCGATTGAAATTAGAATAAGAGAAATTTCTAGAAAACCCCAAAATCAAAATCAAGATGAAACAAATTTCACAGATCATAACGAAATTGAAGAAATCGAAACCTGTTGAAGAAGACCCGAAAGAAGCTGGAAGAGCTGTTCGTCGGGTTTGCCCTCCGCCATATCTCTCTCTCTCTCTCTGTTCTGCTCTCTTCTTTGTTTGAAAATCAAACTAATCAATATGAATTACTACTGATAGATGATTGATTCGTATGATCTCGTGTGGGTTATAAATCTGATAGCGGCAGTTGGGTAAAACTTTGAACAGATGGAAAAAAAAAACAAAAGACGATGGATCATCAGGGAAGCAGGCGCGCGTGAATCTCACGGCATAATCGCTATATTAGTAAAAGATAAGTACAAAATAGAATATGGGTCGGGTCAAAATTAAAAAATTAACCCGATTTTAGCAATTGGATACTTCAAAATTGGATATTAAATTGGGTTCGGATACATACATCAGATACTTTCCATATCTAATTTTAAAATTATATTATTTCCATAACTAATTTTATGATTTTCTAATAAATCTCTAACTAATCAATTATTATTCTTCTTTAACTTTTATTTGATATTATTTTTAATTTATGATATTATACTATATAATAAAAATGATTAATAAAAATTTAACTTTTTTTTTTTTTTTGCATATGTTGCAATTTGAATTTTCAAAACGGACATATAATACTCAACTACACTCGGTTAAATATTTTGGACAATGATTTAAAATCAGTATAAATATGACCAATATTAAAACCATTGTTACATGAGTCTATTTAAAAGTTTCAAAAGTTTCAAAACATTATAATTAAAATGTTAAAATATATTAAAATAGAATTTAAATTACTAAAATTATTTTTTTGGAGACATAATTTTAATTTATTGATAAAATATATTATATATCAAACTATGGAAATTTTCGATAGTTCGCGGATAGTTTGTAAAAATCACAATTATAATGGTAAAGCGAGTTATGAATAATGTTTTAAAAAAAATGAATTTTGTTACGGGTTGGTCCTTCAAAAAAATATATTGTAAGTATGTAATTTTTACATATATTCCTACTTCTACTACAAGAATGGTCAAATTGAATAATTTGTCGATAAATATTCTATTGTGCTGTTAAATTTTCACTGTTTTTTTAATTGTATCAAACCTCTATGTATTATTATTTACTAACTTTTCGTTTATTATTTTATTTAAATTTATTACACATATATATTATTCACCATAATCGACTGCATTGCAATAAAACTAAAATATAACATATTCTTTTTTTTTGGACAAAAAATATAACATATTCTAATCCCTTAAAAGTTATATATTTATAATTATTTCCTCCGCGCTGTAGCGCGGATCTGAACCTAGTTATGTTTTGTTTTATTAATCTCTTTTTTTCTTTTTAATATTTGTTTTGTATCTCTAAACGTTGACTTTGACTTTTGCTATTCGGATTAAATATTTTTGTTTTGTTTAAGTGTTTAGTTTAGTTAATGGAGACGAAACCTTTTTTGTTATTCCTTTTAAGATTAAACGTTACGGAATACGGACAAAGAGAATATATTTAGTTCGAGCATGTCAATGCTTATCATCGTTTACCACTTTCTCTCGAATATGATTCAAACCCCTTGTATTATTAGTCTTTTATACTTTAAACTTCGAGACTGTGACGTATGTAATGGTTAGAGCAAATAAAGTCAAAAGACTTTTTATTTTATTTTTTATTTTATTCAAGAGAAAGAAAAACAAACAAACATGGAAGCTTGCAACATTTCAATGAAAAACAAGAACAACCAAATCACAAGAAACAATTATTAAATGAGTTTCAAAGTATCAACCTTATCTCATGATCAACAAGTTTTGTATTTATTTTATTTTATTTGGATTAAAAAAAGGTTTTAGATCAACTTGAGACAAGCCTTTCTTGCTTTCTTGGCAATCTTAGCTCTTTGCATCTCCATATGTAGCTCAATCTGCATCTTCTCCATCTCCCTTTGAGCTTCCAACATTGCAGCTAACTCCGATGCCGCTGACCCTCTTCCTCCTTTATTTCCATTGTTGTTTTTGTTTCCTCTTGCGTTTCCTCCTCCTCCTCTTTTTGGCTCTTCTTCTTCTTCCTCTTCCTCCTCTACCGCGCAAGAATGTAAATGCGTGCCATAGTCACATTCCTTGCAGTAATACGACCAGAGGTTGTCCGGTACAGTCTCTTCACAAACATCGCAATTAAAGATTAAACCGTTCTCGTAAGGAGAACGGTAGAGCAATGTGAGCGGATGTCTGTGTCCTTCACGCTCCACGGACTCAGGCATGGACACACACCCGACATGAACATCGTACTGACAGATAGAGCAGTTGTAAGTGAATCCGGATCCATACTCACCGCACGCATCGCACGTATAAGTTGACTCGTATGGTGGGGAATAAAGAAGGGTCAAAGGGTGGTCCGGGTGAGCCTTGTGACGAGTCTCACGGGGAAGCTCGAAACATGACTTGTGCAAGAAGTAATCACATTCTGACTTTGTGCATTTAAAAGATGCACCTACCAGGTCTAAGTCGCAGCCAGAGCAGATGATCTCTTCTTCAACTTGGGCTTTGTGACTGCGCAATGGATGGTTGTGGCTCGGATGCCTCACCGACGGTTTTCTTGCTGCCATTCTAACTTATATCTTCCTTTTTGTGTGTTGGAGGCTTTCTTATCAAGACGATTTCAAAGTATTTATAGTAAAACTAGTAAAGACGACTTGTGATAATGAGTCTTCTTTAGCATGGGAGTAGTGATATGTTTTGGTTTGACTATTTAACCAAGTTGTAGCTTATATATTAACTATATTGGCACAAGAATGTCAGTACGCGTTTAGATAATGATATACGATATAAACAAGATTGATTCTCATTTGGAATTCAAAGTCAAGTAGTGGAACTATTCCTTCTTGATCCCATCCATCACGCCGTATATATATGGTACTAATTAATAATTTGTAATTGATTAAACAGCTAATTGTAATTAAATGTTATGAACTTTAGAATTATCAAGCTGTAAAATGTATACAATAGAGTTGACATAGTGAAGGATGTGAGGTCAATTAACTACGCTTGAGTCTCTAGCCAATGCGTAGGATTGTCTTCGAGTAATTTCAATATTAGAGACTTTCACTTGCGGAAAGAAACTAGATACAGTATAGAGTTAGCCATTAATTAAAGAACTCTCATTTCTATGTTTCTGCATCTCAACCTTTTATCTGCCTACTCACATTCATCGCTGTTAATCTAATGACTACTTACGAATCCATGAACATTGGGCGCAAGATTTTTTTGTAGTTAATGTGGTTAGAACAGAGGAGACCAGGTCGATCGTTGATATCTTTCTAACAGCTTTGGTGTTCTAATCTCTCATTAATACATATATGTGAATGGTTCATTAAGCCAAAATTATTAAGAGATACAATTACATGAAAAGAACTTACAACAGCCCAAACGAACCACAACACAAGCTTCGTCAAATCAGTATGATTTTTCATTCATAAACCCATTTATATCTCGGTTCATCCCCAAAATGGATCACAGAATTTTTGATATTATCCCTAATACGCATCGCCGCCAGCTCATCTTGAGCTGCCATCAACGACTGCATCCTTAAAGCTTCCAAACTCGCTTCTCTTTCTCTTTTCTTTGGCTGATGATTTTCATGAACCGGGCAAGAATGCACATGTGTTCCGTAATCACATTCTTTGCAGTAATAAACCCAAAGATTCTCTGTCATATCTTCTTCACAAACATCACATATGAACATTGCACCGTCCTCACGACCTTTGCATGGTGTGTTGTAGAGAAGAGTGAGTGGATGTTCGTGATCTTCCCGCTTCACGTTCTCAGGGATAAACGCACATCCTACATGGACATCATATTGACATGCAGAGCAGTGGTAAGTGAATCCAGATCCGTACTCACCACAAGCATCACACGTGTAAGGCTGACCATAAGGTGAGGAATGATGAAGGGTTAAAGAGTGGTCAGGGTGAGACTTGTGACTGAGTTCACGGGGTAGGTCAAAACATGACTTGTGCAAGAAGTAATCGCAATCTGACTTTGCACACTTGAAAGCCTGTCCGGTTAGCTCGAGCTCGCATCCAGAGCAAATCATCTCATCTTCACCTCGGGCTTTACAAACACGCAGTGGATGGGTGTGACTAGGGTGCCTCACCGATGGGCGATTAACCGGTCTGGTCGAAGCCATTGTGTCTCACCGTCTAGATTTAGTTAGTTAAGTGGAAAAAGAGTTTAAGAACTATGTAGTGGACTTATGATTTATGTTTTCGTCCAAATAACCTTATGTTTGGTTTTGGATCGAGATTCACAAGGTTGTGTGGTTTAATATATAGAAGAAGACGGTCGACATGTAATTTAAGTTGCAAAATTTACATACGGGAACTTTGTTAGATGTATGTGGTTTAGAATTTCCAATTTGGACAATCGTTAGGAAGTAGCTAGTGACAAAACAATAGTCTTCACTCTTTATCAATAATTGAGGTTCCCTTATAATCCCAGTGGGTACCGACTTGTTTAAACAATCAGACTGTCGACTTTTGAAGTCGTCGTTTGAAATGAGTCCACACATTCACACGGTAGAGATGATGATAACCACAAAACAATAAGATTCGAACGTATCTTTTTTCTTGTGCTAGAAGAAAAAACTATATTACCAATTTTAAATGTATATCCACCTCATACATGATACATGTTATATCTAAAACTGATGATGTATTGACTAAGATTTTCTAATTAGAAAAAAAAAAAAAACAATGAACCTCCCATATAATCCAAGTATATTCAGCTTTTGGCATACGACATAATCGTTGACATTCCCATAGCAAAAGAAAAGTCGTCGAGTGGAAATTGTAGGATCGACATCTCACGTTAGAAATTGGATAGCACAAAACAAAGTCTCACAGCCATCCACAATATTATCCTCTCACACCTCTCAATAATTTTCAAGATCATCATCGCTCTTTTTTATATGTGTATAATGGTTAAATAAGCCAAATATATAACCAATCAGCTTGTTATTCCACCATACATTTTGTATAACAATGAAAATACAAGATTAAATGACATAACAACACTCCCAGTAACTCACACGAAAAAAACGAAATTTTCAAAAGAAAGAACAATCACAAACTTTTTCATCAATTGACCATTCGTTGATTTGATTACCAATAATACCTCCGCTTTGGACTATCCCATAAATCGAGTATAGCATTATTAGTGTCATTCCTAATACGTGCCTCGAGCTGCAACGCCGCCATCTCATCTTGAGCTTTCATCAACGACTTCATCCTTGAAACCGCAGAGCTCCCTTCTCCTTTTTCTCCTCCATTTTTCTTTGACGGCTCATGATCTTCATAAACCGCGCATGAATGTACATGCGTTCCATAATCACAATCTTTGCAGTAGTAAACCCAAAGATTCTCCGACATATCTTCTTCACAAACATCACATATGAACATTGCACCGTCCTCTCGACCTTTGCATGGTGTGTTGTAGAGAAGAGTGAGTGGATGTTCGTGATCTTCTCGCTCCACGGTCTCAGGGATAAACGCACAACCAACATGAACATCGTATTGACATTCAGAACAGTTGTAAGTGAATCCTGATCCGTACTCACCGCATGCGTCGCATGTGTAAGACTGACCATACGGTGGAGAATGAAGCAAGGTTAAAGAGTGGTCCGGGTGAGACTTGTGATTGGTTTCACGAGGTAGATCAAAACATGACTTGTGCAAGAAGAAATCACAGTCTGATTTCATGCACTTGAAAGCTTGTCCCGTTAGCTCGAGCTCGCATCCAGAGCAAACAACCTCATCTTTGCCTCTAGCTTTAAAGATGTTCAGAGGATGGTTGTGACTCGGGTGCCTCACGGATGGGCGATTAACTGGTTTCTTTGAAGCCATTGCGCATGAATTTGGTTGTTTAAGTGTAAGAAACGTTTAGAAACTATAAATAGCAAAATATTTAGATGCCTTGTGAAATCCATATTTGGCTAAATTAATAATTCTCAGTTTGGTTTTGATTAATCACCAAATTGTAGTTTAATATATATAGAAGACGGTTGACATTTGAATGGCAAGATCTTGGACACGAAACTATCACCGGATATATGATTTAAAATCTCCAGTCTTAAGAAATATTGACAAAACATTAGAATTCCTCAATTATTTTGGTTCCCATATAATCCAAGTGGGTGATTAAGACCTGATCAAACAATATAACCATTGACATTCGAAGTCGTCGCCCAAAGAGTTCATGACTCTCAAACTCAAAGTGTAGGAATAATTCATTTCACACGGTAACCAATGACTACCACAAAATAAGTCTTCCTATATATCAAATCCAAAACCAATGAAATTATATGTTTTCATATACCAAATGACAAATAGCAGCATTTTAAAACTTCCAAAATTTCTCTGACCAAACCAATGGGAAGGCCAAAACCAGAGGACTCAATTCGACATTTCAGTCATCCACATCCATTGTTCAACTCATCTTTTATTCCTCAAGACCAATCTTCTTCTTCTTATTGTTGCGTGGTTTGCAAGCTAAAACTCCTAAATCTTCCATCATACTCATGCAAACCTTGCAATTTCCACATCCACCTAAAATGTTCCGAATTACCTCAAAAAATCAGACACCCTTTCGACAACATCCATCTCCTCTCTCTGATCCCTTCTCCCAAATACCAAGAAGGACGATTCCGCTGCGACGCCTGCGGTAAAGACGGTGACGGATTCGCTTACCACTGCGGAGACTGCGGAATAGATCTTCACACGGTTTGTGCCAACATGCCTTCTCGAGTCACCCACCAATCTCACCCTCACCACCAACTTTCTTTAACGTTTTCTGTATCCGCTACGGCATCTAGCTTCCGCTGTTGCGTGTGCCGTGGTCTAGGGTCTAACTCGTGGCTCTATAGCTGCAGAGAGTGTGGTGCATTCGATGCTCATTTGTTGTGTGCTAGAAGAAAACTAGCTACTCCTACAAATATGGTCCAACCTGTTCAAAACCGGATGCAACCGCAGTTAATTGGTACGACGCATTTTGTTAATAATGTTCCTCCTAGCCCGGTTATTAATTATAATGCGTATCCTTTGGTGGTGCCGACTACTACGAGTGATATGATTAGACCGATGATTAGTGAGATGATTAATAATCTTGTAAGCAATACGCCACAAAATCCAAGCCAAGTCTCTCAGCTTCATGAGTTGCTCGGACCATTGGGAATGGGTAGTGGCGGACCAATTGATGGATCCGGTTCATCTTCGTCTTCTGGTTTTCTCGGGTTTGATCCGTCGGTTTTCACATCAGTTGACCCATCGGTGTTTGCTGGATTTGATCCTTCTTTGCTTTCTACTTTATTCTCCGGACTTGATTTCTTCTCCTAATAAAGTGTTTTTGATGAGTATGCAAATCTGTCTTTTGATCTATTTTATTTATTACGTTCGAAGTGAAAGAGTAATTGACTCAATATTATTGACAAAAGGATCTTTATGAATTAAAGATACGAAAATTGATGATGTTATTAATTGTTATCATATATTTTCATATCTTAGACTAGTCAAAATTAATATCATCTATTGCGTTGCTACTAAAATTAGGGATGCTATTAAGTTAAAAGACAATTGATGGTACTAGTGATATTTTACAGGGGTTCTTTAAAAAAAGAAGTGAATATCTTCAATTATTTTATTTAGGTAAGATAAACGGATAATCCCTACTATAGTAAAAGAGAAGTACAAAAGTTTCTTGGGTCGGGTTTTTTAAAAAAATTAACCCGAAATTTTTCAATTGGATCTTACTAAAAATTTAAAGATATTAAATACCAGTTTCCATATATATTATTTCGAAATCTACCAAATTAAACCATCAATATCGGTTTTGGAAAGTACATTAATCTTAATTTGTTTAAGTAAAAATACATTAATGTATGATTTTGTATATTGGTTTAACAAATTAACCTAAAAATCAGAAATATAAATTAAATATAAAATATTTATCAAATTATCCATAATATTTCAAAACAAAATGTTCCTTAAATATCTTATATTAATATTTAGATGTATAGTTTTCTCCTATATTAACTATGATCTTCACACCAATTACGGGATAATTCATTTTCAACCATCTTTAATATATTTATTTGGCAATAGTTTCGAATTTCTGGCTTGATTATAAAGCTAATCTTTTTTTCAACGCTAACCTAACTTTAAGAAAATATTATCTATATAAATAAGTTTCTGCTACCAGAAAATTGTAACATAAACACAGATTTTACATTTTAACACGATAAGAAATAAGAAATCATTGGCTCTTTATTTGTTTATTCTAGAGATTTGCAATTTTACAAAACTGCATGAAAGGTCCAAGTTAAAATCATGTATATATGATTATGCGGTGTACCGCGGGTCAATCCCTAAACTTTAAAAATGATTCATAGTATAATATTTATACATGTATATATGTCACATATTGTTCTAAAATTAACAATCCAACTAAAATCATACAATTTAAATAATTTTGAACATATTCGAAACCAACACAAAAAATACAATCTAAAAATGATAGAATTTAATTAATAATCAAAATAAAGTAAAGCAAACACAAATAAATTATTCCGCAACGTACAAAATATTAAAAACCCGGTAACTTTCCCCCGCGCTGTAGCGCGGATCCGAATCTAGTATTATAATGTTTTGTTAGCCTCATGGCCAAGGAAAATACATTATTTAATGACTATATTGTAATATAAATATTAGGGTAAACCTTAACCTTATAAACATAAGTTAAACATACGAATACACTACTATTATTAACTAACGCAACCACTAACCTTAAACATTCGGAAGACAAATCAAATGTCGTAAAGAGAGATTAAAATTGGTTTAAATTGTCGTAAAGACCTACTTCTTCTACCTCTCTTCCTTTTCTATTTATCGGTGTGTGTTTCTCTCTCTCTCTCTCTCTCTCGCCACCGATCATCACCACCGCCCTCGAAATCTACGTCATCCGCCGCTTCTTTTGATCTCTCTCTCTCTCTCTCTCAAAAGGTCTCTTCTTTCTCTTCAAACCTCATATGCCTCTCTGTTTTCTTCGATTGTGCGGTCAATTCTCTGTTTTGCGTAATCAAGTTTGTTGAATTTCCCCCATTGGGAAAAATTATTCAAAGTTGATTCCTTTTTATTGTGTTTTTGATTCTATACAGATGCATGCGTTGCTTGATTGCGGAATTTTGGGAAGTTCCAGTTCAATCGAGTGAAAAAGCTGAGCTTTCTTTTTGATTTTGGATGAATTGGTTTGATCTATGGATCGGAAACGTTTAGGTTGGCTTTAAACCTTTTTCAGGGAAACGATGCTGGGTTTGAATGTTCTGATTGATCTGTGCAAATAATTACAAAAGCTCTTTGTAAAATTTTGGTCCTTTTTGAGCTATCATGACCAGTAGTGTCCAAGGAGAGACAATGGATCTTGATTTGAATCAAGAGCCATCTTCTGATTCTGAGTCTCCGGCTAGTTTGATGACGGAGTTTTCTCCTTGGTTAAATGAGCTTGAATCTGCACAAGAGCGGATTGAAGAGCGCATAAGACAGCTCGAAGCTATCGTTTCAAGAATCAGGGAACGAGAAACAAGAACAACAACACCAGCTTTGGTCTCGCCTAACGAACATAGAGATTCAACTGCAGGAGTTATACATGAGCGTTCTAGAGAGAGACTTGTGGAAAACAGCGAGAACAAGACTTATTTAATAGCAAAGGCATTGAACATGGAGAAAACAAGTTCTGTTCCTGGTGGGTTCTTTGACTGCAACATATGTTTGGAGAAAGCTGAAGATCCTATTTTGACTTGCTGTGGTCATCTGTTCTGTTGGGGTTGTTTCTATCAGTTGCCTTTGATTTACTTAAACATAAAGGAATGTCCGGTTTGCGATGGGGAAGTGACAGACGCCGAGGTGATTCCGATATACGGTAATGGAGATGATTGTGATGGTACTAAACCCAAGTTAGAAGAGTGTGGTATTAGTCTACCTCGAAGGCCTAATGCTAAAAGAGTGGAAAGTGTTCGTCAAAAGATCATAACCCGAGGGATTCCTTTCCTCCCTGGGCACGATCACGAAACCATCGAACATATTAGAAGAACTATTGATTCCATAGGACTACAAGCATTAGCTCAAGGCGATGAGTTTGGTTTGACAAACATAATAAACACTGGAGGGCAACAACAACAACAACAGCATCATCATCAGCAGCATCCGCCTTTCGGATCATTGAGTTTATTAACATCATTTACTGGTTTCCCAGGTCTTGTAGTTGATACGTCGGACATACCCTCCTTTGATGATGATGCTTTTGATGTTGATAGTTTTGTTGACACAACCAGTCTGAGAAGAAACCGTCGAAGACCTTCACCAGGGGTACGAGCCTCTTATCAGAGAAACCGAAGTACCAATGCTTCGCAGACGATTTCGTTCAGGCTTGGTTCTGCAGCTCCATCAACACCTGGAGAGTTTGCTGTACCAAGCTCCTCCATTGCTACGAGAAGCCAAACTGTGAATCCTACTGAAGTGGTTACTTCTGGTACTTCTGCTTCATCTTCTAGGAGAAGAACAGAAGATGTAAACAATGGACCTCGGACCAGGTCTAGAAGGAGGCTGAGGTAACTGTAAAACCGTGGCCGGAATCTTGACACCCAGTCTGCTTTTCGACCACTGCTGGAGCTCCATCATTACTAAAACCTCATTTGACTGTCTTCTCTCTGAATATGGTTGAATGTATGTATGCACATTCTTTGTGTACTTGTAATTTCTGCTAGCCTCTTAAACTTTTGGATATACAATAGCTTTGTTCTTTTGTTAAAATAATTTATTTAACTTAATTTCTTGAAAGTGTATGATATCAAGTTCCAAAATTCAAGATTCAGATTAAAATTATTTTCTTCCAAGTAGGCAAGTAGCTTATGTTTCTTCAGTTTATGGGGTAGATTATTAAGGGTAAATTCGTAATTTACCATAAAATCTAGTAGTTGGGGTTGAAACGTCACTCTGTTTACCCTAGAAACTAAAAACGGCAAGTTGTTATTTACTTTGTTTTTTTTCATATAGACGCGACTTGTTTGTTAAAAGTCATCGGTGACGCTCATAATTTTTTTGTCATCGCCGTCGTTGAACTCTCTCGCCGGCGATAATGATCTATGTTGATGGAATACTTATTCAAGATGAGCAAAGCTCGTCTTCCTTGTCGTCTTCATCGCAGGTAAATTTCTTTTTCTTCTTCTCTCACGAATCTCTATTTAGTGGTTTAACTAGGATTTTGCTTATATATTGTTAGTAATGTGGTTCGGGATCGTTAAACCTGGAATTGATTTTGGTCAAATTTGATGCTTTTACTAATAATTACCCAAAAATAATTATTGTTCTATTCCACTATTTGTTTGAATTTGAAATAACCAGAACTCTATAAAAAAATGGCTAACTTATACATCATTTTGTGAACAGGGAAGTAGCTTACTTCTTGATGTAATGAGACATTCTGTGATAATGTCAGCTTCTGAATCTTTTAAGAATCTTGAAGAAAAGAATGTGTCTTTCGCTGAAAGTGACTCGGAGAGCTCAACAAAAGACAGATATGTTTACATATTCCAAAGCGAATTTGCTGTTGTGAATCCAGCGCTTGTTGATGTATGTTGTTGTTGCATCACCTGTCCCATCACCGTTTAAAGTTACCTGCTGTATGAATGAGTATCTTATATATTCTAGTATACTTTGTTTTTCTAATGATCTGTCCTAATTGTGTATTGATGAGAATCAGTTTGTTGGCACCGATGAAGCAACCACTTGCGTAGGGCTTGTTATCCGCAACAGAAAATCTGGAATGTAAGGACTGTTCCTATATACGCTATTGAGAGGATAAGGTGCAATCACTTCTTTTAAATTTAAATTTATGATCATCTGAAAACTGCAGGACGTCTATTGCACACATGGATTCACCAAAAGTTGTGGATTTGGGGTTAAGCCAGATGTTATCATTGGTTTTAGAGGATGACAATGCTGAGTTAGATGTATATTACCAAGTGTCTTTGAACTTATGGTTATATCATTCTGTATTTTATTTTGAGTGCTTTTGTAATAATGTCCACGCCTTTGTATGCAGGTACATATGGTTGGTGGTTATGAAGATGTCGACATAAAGGTGTGTACTTTTCTCTCAGTCTAGTTACTACTAAGCTCTAGAGTAGTAGAGTGGTCTTAAGCTGAATGTATTGACCGTTATATGCAGAATGCTGATGGTGGTGACTTTGCCGAACCAGAGGGTTACTCTTATCCTTTGTGTTGCAAATTAGTAGAAACTTTCCAGAAGAGACGAGAAAACTTTCACATTCAAACCCTCTTTATTCTTGGGCACAATACCAAGTTGGATGCACAAGGGAATACGTGCCCCGTTTTCAATGGATGCCTGGTTAGTCTACTTTGTCTGCTGTTTACACCATTTGCCTTTTTTGGTTCTCTTAGAATGTTAATTATAAGGTGTACTAATTGGTTCTTTACAAATACAGTATGAAAAATTGACCATTGCTAGTAGGTGACATGTAAAAACTATGCTTTTGTAATTGGTTTTCATTGGTCAAAATACTGTCTTTTCTATTTAGGGATTAAGAAAGAAGTAAGAGGTCTTCAATTAGATAATAGAATTGCTTGAAATTTATGAATTGGTAATTAGCACTTTAACATTAAGCTGTTTCTTTGAATCCTTTTTATCAGGTGGATACATCTACCGGTTCAATTTTCCCAGCCAGTTTCGACAGAACATCTAGATGTCCGGATGAGATTGTTCGTAGAATTCGAGTTTCATCGTCATTTGATGATCCTAGCTGGAAGGGAAAGCTACTTGACACATATGACACAAAATCTGATAGATTCATTATCGCACCATGCCGCTGGTAAAAACAAACAAAACACTACTTGTGCTGCTTTTCATATAATCTCATCGACCATTATATATGTATTGCTCACCGAATTTAAAGTAACACTGTATCTACTACTCTCCATTGTAGTTTCATAAATTGCTTTTTTGTTTTTGACACAGGACAATGCGTCTGGTTGAATATGTTTGGGAACTTAATCAGCTATCTGATGAAGACATCCTCAATAATTGTTCTACCTCACCTTCTGCTGAAGGTCCAGACTTCGTAGACAACTCAAGAAGGTTAATTCGTTATATATAGCTTCAATTGGATCATCATCTATAAACACAAACACAACATAGTGGATCTTCACATGCTCTAATTTTGTTGTGTTTCATTCAGGGTTTGGGAGTATTTACTAAAATATCCAGAATGGAGCAAGACATACCCAAGGAGACAACCACGTGTGTTTGAAAGGACTACTGATGGACAATGGACAAAATGCTGACTGTCTCACCCTAAATCGTTACATTATCCACAAATCTGGCTATAAATAACGATTTGAGTGTATCTATCTACACATTTAATTCAATGGAATTGTTTGCACTCGGAAGAAATCGTAAATCTGTATATAGTTAAAACACGTGAATATCTTGGACACACCCAAGCGTTGTGGTGGGTTTGGTAATTGGTACACCGGGTCCGTCAGGCCTAATTGTTGAGGCCCATTGATTTTAGACATCCCTTCAATCGCAAATTATTCAAATGCGACCAATGGAATTATCAAATAATGTCCTTATAAAATAATAGTAGTTATTAAGAAAAATATTCAATAAACGTAGTCCGACCTAACTTTCACCAATAACACGACGGAAAGCAATCCTATATATAGTAACCAAAGTTTAACTGGGCCGGCCTCTCTTCTGGTAATGGGTTTAAGTGTTTACACTTTGCCCTAATGTTTTTGAAAAAGCGAAAGGGTCAAGGATACAAAAAGCAGCGGTTACATCTAGGGTTACTTATCAAATCTGCTTTTCGCTTTTATTTCTAGCTTAAAACTTTTTAAAATAAATTTAAAAATTATACAACTTTTATTTGGTATAAATTCCTTTACAAGGAAATTCAAACTTTCCTTTCAATGAATTGGTGGTGGTGTACTCGTGTACGAGTAATTAGCATAGATCTCATTAAATTTCATTGCTTGGATATAGGAAACAGATTTGTTCTCTGATATTTTGGATTAAATAAGATGAGTGAAAAAAAAAAAAAAAAAAAGTGAGCGAGTTTAGACAAGAAAGCAACAATACAGATTTAAATAGTATAGAAAACCATAATAAAATATATATACTGATAAAGAGAAATAAAAAATCCCAAAACTGCGAGCGTATTTGTTTGTGAGAGAGAATCAAAGAAGAGTTTATGTGTATGGAAAAGGATGAGCAAGGAAGAGGAGGAGGAAGCTTATAACAACAACAACTATATTAGCTCATCAGCTCGTGATTGCATCGAACAAGACGATGATGATAGTAACAACACTAAGAAGATCCAAGCATGGGGCACGTGGGAAGAGCTGTTATTAGCATGCGCCGTTAAGCGACACGGATTCCGTGACTGGGACTCCGTCGCTACGGAGGTTCGTTCCCGGAGTTCTCTCCCCGACGTCCTTGCCTCTGCTAACAAGTGTCGACACAAGTATCGGGATCTAAAGCGTCGATTTCATGAACAAGAAAAAACCGATACGGCTCCGGCAGAGGAGGAGGAGACGACTGCCATGGCCGACGAAGAAAAAACAGAGAACGTCGGTATCCCTTGGCTTGAAGAGCTCCGAAATCTTCGTGTAGCTGAGCTCCGTCGAGAAGTTGAACAATACGATGTGTCGATATTGTATGAACACGAGCAATCTCTTTCTCTCTCTCTTTCGACGGATCTGAGTTTTTTTTCTTCCGATTTTGAATTTGTATTTGGTTTGTTTTGGTTCTTCTTAGATCGCTTCAGTTGAAGGTTAAGAAATTAGAGGAGGAGAGAGAAGAAGAGAAACCAGATCTGGAAGACGAGAGGAAAAAAGAGAGATCGGAGAACGACGGTTCTGAAACAGAGCACCGTGAGAAGACTGTTTCAGCGGCGGAGGAATCTGATCGGGAAAACGGGTCGATGAACGAGTCGAACTCTACAGCAACCGTAGGAGAAGACGACAGAGTTGGCGGAGGTGAACCGAGTCAGACTCGAGATGATGACTCGGCTGATAATGATAATAATCCTGATCCGGTTAGTAAGGATACGGCGGGGGAGGATGAGGAAGGATCGGATAGTAGAGGATCGGAAGCGAGTCACTCAGACGAGTTAGGCGAGTCAGGGACGTCGGAAAGGAAGTGGAAACGGAAACACGGTGGTTCCGGCGAGATCAGATCGGATGAGAGTAAATCTCAGCCGTTGATTGGTCTTCTTGATCTGATTCGGTCCCATCCGCGTGGATCTTTGTTCGAACGCCGGCTTCGGAGCCAGGTATGCTAAATTATTTTATTTTTTCCTAATTTCTACATCTAATAAATCATACTTAAATCAAGTTACTTTTTTTGAAACACAAATCAAGTTATATTACGCGTCTCTTTTACTTACTAAGGGAAAGAGTAAGAAAAATACGAATTTGTTAGCACCTAATTATAGAAACCATGCATAATATAAATTTAACAATATTCGTTTGTTTAACTCCATTTAAAAAGTTTATATAGGGAATATAAATGTAAAATCTTCTTACAAAGTTTTGAATATCATAGGAATATTTTGAATAGATATTCCGTATATTATATGGAATCTCTATATTTTCTTAAATCTTATTTTTACGTTTAATTAAAAAAAAATTATCGGACAATTTAAGGGAATGTTTAAATATATGAAGAGAGTGAGAGACGAGGGAAAAAAAAAAAATTAATATAACGAACCCACTTCTTTCGTGGTTCACCGTTGTCCCTTGTCGTTTTGATTACTCAATCTAGTCCACGTGGCAGAGTCTTGGTGTAGCATGGTTTTTGTCGTGTCTCACCCCTAACTTTTTATTATTGGGCCTATAATAATTTTGTAACTTACGTTTGTATGTCCACTAAATTCGCAGGAGGCCAAGGATTACAAGAGCATGGTTAAGCAACATTTGGACATTGAGACAATACAGAGAAATTTGAAGCAAGGATCTTATGATTCTTCAACCCTCACTTTTTACAAAGATCTACACCTTCTCTTCACAAACGCCATTGTCTTCTTTCCTTTATCTTCCGCTGAATCAATGGCTGCTCACGAACTAAGAGCCGTTGTTTCTCGAGAAATGAGGAAAGAGACCCGGATATCTGGTCCCAGGTTTATAAACCGGGAAGTCTCAGCTACGAATAGTGGCAAAGCTGATGCTGAAACGTCAGACTCGTCTCTCTCTAGACAGAAATCTTCGGCTCCTCTTGTCGTTTGTAAGAAGAGGAGTTCTGTTTCCACTAAGGCTTCTCCTTCGTCCTCAAGCTTTAGCCAACAGGAGGAGATGGAAGAAGAGACATTATCAGAGGAGAAAGAGAACACTGTAACTGGTGTAAGAAGCTCGAGAAGGGCCAGCAAACCAGTTGCTGCTACTGCGGCTATCTCTAATTGTACCACGAAGGGTAAAAGCAAGAACAAACTGAAACATATGGAGTCGAAAACAAATCCGTTGAATGATAATAGTAGTCAGCAAGAGACAGGTAAAACAGAGAAGAAGATGATTTCATCAGACAAGAAGAAGAGCGTGGCTGATTTCTTAAAGAGATTAAAGAAGAACTCTCCACAGAAAGAAAGCAAAGATCAGAATAAGAGCAGTGGAAGTGGTAAGAAAGATAGTAAAGCAAAACCAAGAGAACTTAGAAGTAGCAGAGTGGGTAAAAAGAAGGCCGAGTTAGCGATTACTCCGGTGAAAAGAGCCCCCGGGAGACCGCAGAAGAAAACAGCAGAGGCAGAAGCAACTGCAACCGCATCTGCCTCGGGAAAACGGGGTAGGGATACCGGAAGCACGGGAAAGGACAATAAACAGCCAAAGAAAAGAATTAGAAGATGAGAGTTTAAAACATCTTTTTCCCCTTTGGTGGCTTTTCTTAAGAGCTTAAGGTATTGTATATCGATAGAGTTCGCTTTGGAGTATATTATCTTAATTCTAACATTAGAAATCATATTTTCTCATAGTTATGGATTAGGAAAAGTGTATTTTGGCTTTGTTGGCATTTGTAATGTTCATTATATTTTTTCTCATTTCCACCATTTGAGTCCCTACAAAAGCTAGAGCTACACCGCTCAGATACCGAACCCATATCCAACAAAACTGAGATCCGGGTAGAGCTAATCTCTAGTATCAGAAAAAATTACAGTCAGATACCCAAAAAAAGGTAGCATCAAAGAAGTTGAGACTCTGACATTCGATCTCTTCTTCACCAGCTCCTCCATGGACCTTGCATTGCACTGTGCCTTGGTGAAATTGCATGATTCAAACATAAGCTACAGGCGAAAGGCACCTTCTGTACAAAAGAATAGGAAGGAGAATTTCAGTGAATGTATTTGATTTTAAGTTATAAGCATTTCGTCTTATATTTTGCTCAAATGGAAGAATGTCACTCGGGGATAAAGGGCTTGAAGATGTTAAGTTTTTGGTATCAAACTAAAAACTTGCCGTTTTCTCCATCGGAAATATCTCCAAGTTTGGCGATGGCACCAACAAGTGCATGCTCTTGCTCCTAGATTTAAAAAAAAAAAAAAAAAAAAAAGGTATATCATTTTGAGACTTTTGTATGTTTAAGCATAAACAAAAAATTATAAAAGAAAGTATCTCTGTTATTGTATGATCGAACCTCCAAAATTCTCTTAGCCCTTTCAACTTCTTGAGGATCGGGATTGTGTGCACCAAGAACTCTCTCCACCTATGAGAAGTGAGAATCATCATTATTTGAGAAATAAGCATAGCTATTGTGCTGTTAAACTCGCCTAGTAATCAATTAATACCAACCTCTCTGACAAGGACATTTGTTTGACGGATTCGTATATCGAGATGTTTCTTCTTCCCAGTTCCATTTTGTGATGTTCTGAAATCCTTTCTGATAGTGTTCTTCCCCAAGCCGCTTCCTCCTTGTGTAACACTGTTGGGTACAGTAGTTCTATTCAGTCCATGACCTTGTCTGTTATTACCATATCTATTACCAGTCCCAGGGTCCTCTCCTACCCACTCTATATCCCCAGGAGATATCTGTTACAGAATTAGAGATTTTTGTTAGAAACTAACAAAGAATTGTTGACCACAGTTTGAACATTCGCCTCATAAGTTTCAGCAGAGTACCAATAAAAAAATAATTACCTCTGAGAGATTAACCCATTCCCATGTCTCATTAAGTGTTCCACTGTCATAAACTAAAGCATGACGACCCTAAACGTAAAGATTAATAGAATATTCAAACATGTATAAAGAAACTTCTTAGTTTATAAAAAATACCGAAACTTTCTGCCAATTTGCGAAGCCACACACACCTCAAGTGGATTATACATGGTGATGACAGCCTCGTAAAATGTATTGTCTTCCGGCCACTTTGTTTTAACTCTTCTTCCTATAAAAGATTCAGGCTCGGTTCCGTTTGTTGGTTCACTTGAACTAGTAGGAACAGATGGTAATCTGTTCATGACTTGTCCTCGTGGAGGTTGATCTGAAGGATGGTATGAGACGGGTTTTGTAGAAGACGAACCAGGATTAACCTAGAAACAAAAGTAACTTGTAAGAAAACAATTTTTAGATTAAAAAAAAACCAAAAATTCTCTGAGTTTTTAACTCACTGGTTTATGCTTTTTGCCCTTGACAATAGGAACAGATCCTCGTTTGGCTGCCGATGAAGCAAACTGGTGAGTGGGATCAGCTTGAGGATGAAAAGAAGGTGATGGACTGGCAAATGGTTGAGAAGGAATAGGCTGGTTTGGTTTGTGCTTCTTCATAGAAGCTGAAACAGAAGGGCTTGGCAAGGTATCATGAACCAATTGAGCAGCATTGCGCACACTTGGTTGCATTCCTCCAGATTGTCTCCATTCCCTAATAACGGAAAAACAGTATGTTATCTATAGAGACAAAGAAAGAACCTTATAGACTAAACCAAGGGTCAGGTTTGTAGCTCTCACCTTATCCTTCGTATTGTATCATCTGCGTTAACACGACCTAGTAGCTCTCTATGCTCCTCATTCGATAAACGCAACTCTTTACGTAGTTCAGTTATTAGACTCTCTTTTTCCTGAATAAGATCCATTGATTAAAAAAGAGATGTGATTTTCAACTAAACAGATGAATCTAACACAAGTAGAGAAATCAGAGTAGCCCGAGATTCATGAAAAATACCCATGAAATAGCATCGCCTTGAGCTTGAAGGGCTCTTAGAATAGAGATGTATGCTTCTTTCTCAAACTGGTGAATCTGAGCTTCCATATCAGCAGCAACATCGTCATACATTTTTGGATAAGATGGAGGAAGATTGGAAGGTCGTCCATTAAGAGGCACACGTCCTCCTCCTCCTCCTCTTGGAACCCTATGCGACGGTGGCAGATCATCATCGGTTCCTGCATTATCCAATCAAACCCTTGTAATCAATCACTACTTAGTACTTACAATCATTATCACACAACTCACTCACTCAAAAGGTTTCAGCTTGAGATCAAACGAGATATGTATAGCTCAAATTCAATCTCGATTTCAGTTAACTGAAACACTAGTAAAGTAAACCTGCAATTTCTACATTCCTTAGCAACAACAAGAACCTAAATTCTTCACATTAAAACCAAAAAAAATAAAAACAAGAACCTAAATTTCATCTTCAAAACCACCAAAAAAAAACTGAAAACAATAACGAGAACTTAACACGAATCCACCAAAAAACCACAATGTATAACAGTACTCGGACGGAGAAATCCCAAAATTTGCGTAAACCCTAATTTCAATCTGATAGAAACAACGAGCTGATCTAGAGAGTCTGAGGAACTAACCACTGCTATCAAACGCTTCGTAGTCCATCGCGAAAGCTTCGATATCCTGTTGGAGAGACTAATCTCGAAGATGATATTGCAAAGACGGAAGAATCAAAGGACAAAAAGCACAAATTCGAGGTTGATTTCAATTTGACTAGAAGAAAAAGAAAAAAAAAAGACTCGATTTTGATATGGTTGAGCTCAATTTCGTACTTTGTAGAGTTGTGAGGAAAAAGAAAAGATCAATTAGAAGGTTCGGCAACAAATCAGAGCTCAACTAAGAAGTGTGATTCAGCTTATATTACAGATTTGCCGAAAGCTCATTATTTGCCAAAATAAGAACACAGACCCAAAAAAACAAACCATAAAATAAAAAATAAAAAAATGTGTAGATTCATTCTCATTAAATTTATCAAAATATTACGAGGGAATCAAAACACCGTCGTTTCTTCCTTCCTATATTTTTCTATTTATTTTTAAGTGAAAAAAACAAGAAAAGAGATAAATCTCAAATATTCAGATTCTGTGTAATTAACTAATTATGCTTTCACTTTTCATTTTGTCTATTACATTTACTTAAATTGAATAATAATATATATAGTTAAATTGGAATATTCATCACGTTTGTTTACACTTAAAATATCATAAATCTAAATTATTGTAAGTGAAAGTTTTACGTCTTTTTAATCATTAATATACATTTCGAAATCATCGTTAAATATGTCGAAGAAAGTATCTATGGATAACATCTTGAGATAAATAAAACGTATGTTGCTTAGATACATCGTGAGGATTTTAGAGAAAGAAGAATGGTAATTGTTGACTTGTGTTGTTTGTTGTACACATGAAGTAGAGGAAGAGATTGTTAACGTCTTCTGGTACACTTTCGTGCTGCTATATACGTACCTGTGATGTCCGAATCATCGAAAACATTAGAACTCCTGTCCTAAGATCTCGTTTGTTTTATTTGATCTTAACTAACTATTTCTCACAAGTCACAATGTAGTATTGTAAAAGACACTAATATCTCACCACGTATTTTTAAAAGATTGCCCCATCCGAGGGTTTCGCTATTTCTGAAAGTATCATTAAGACGACCAATACATTTATAATTAAAGTCTTCTCTTGCTGTTGTTTGATGTCATCAATGTTTACTAAATTCAAAAGGTTGATGACATTAAAACTAAAACTTTTTAATAAAGTCTTCTTTCACTGTCTTATAAACTTAAAAACTTTGTAACGAAAACTTGTGAGAATATAGATATTATGATAGTTTTTTAAACAAAAAAAAAAATCAGAAACGAAGACTGCTTTTATACTACTTTTCCTTTTATTTGATAATAATAAAGAACCAATTCATAAGACTAACGTGGAAAAAGATACGATACTTCCAAAACCAAATAATGATGAGTTTGGTTCGTCACATCGAAATCAGAGGGAGAGAGTCTTTTTCAACATAGTATTTAAAAAATCGTGTAAGGTTAAAACGTATAAACGTTATATATATTGACCGACAAATCCCAACGCGTTCCAGACTCACACCAACCTGTGAAAATAACCCAACAATATACAACTACAAAAAAAAATTATAAATTTCAAACAAACGATTTAAAAAGAAAGAAGTGAACAAATGTAAAAAAAGTTTTTGAAATAATAGCCGTTACAAGAATTACAAACCTTGTCGATATGTTTCAAGTAACAAAAAAAAAAACGCTTTTTAAATAAATAAATAAAATCAAGTTGATGAAGAAAAAAAGACTTTTCAAAGATAGAACACGTCTTCACGTTCCATAGCACAATCCCGTTTATGTCTCTGTACACTACCAAGACGTGCAATGATGCTTTGCTTTCTCTCTTCAATCCTATTTTTATGACTCAGCTTTTTTATAAATATATTTAGATATTCAATCCTATGCATTTTTTTCTTTCTTCTAGAATTCACTAATGTTTTTGCCAATTTTTTTTTGTTTTTCTTATTTTGATATAACTTGATAAGGTCATTTTTGTTTCCCTTTCCGGTTTACTAAATTGAGAAAATTATAATATTATATCATTCATTCTCTCTCTCTCTCTCTCTCTCTCTCTCTCTCTCTCTCTCTCTCTCTCTCTATCAGATAATCTTTTCTCTAATAACGCTCTTTTACTAGATTCACACACCCTCAGTTTTAAAACCAGAGGTCTCTTCTCTTTATAAAGCCTCTCCACTTCATTCATCTTCTTGAAAGAAAAACAAAAAAAAACAAGATCTTTAAATCATCAAAATATAAAAAGAATGAGAGGTAAATATCTTTATGTACTAGTAGTACTCATTGTCTTGGCCTCCAGTGGAGTTCTTGCCAAGAACAACAACATCTCTACAACGCCTAGATTAAGAAGAAGTGATTTCCCAGCAGATTTCATTTTTGGTTCTGCAACCTCTGCTTACCAGGTTCTTTTCTTTTTTTCAATTTCTTCTTTTTACTTTTCTTTTTCTTACCAACAATTCTGACCAATCGTTCACATTATCTAGAAAAAACAAGAAAAGTCCTGGTTAGAAAAATTTATGGATGTTTTCTTTTTGTTTTTTTTTTCAACACTTGGTAGGTAGAAGGAGCTGCTCATGAAGATGGTAGAGGACCAAGTATCTGGGATACCTTCTCTGAGAAATACCCAGGTTTTTTTTTTAATTTAAAATTGTTTAGTCACGTTGTTGTTAGGATCTATACGAGTATTTTGGATTCAAGATCTGTAAAATCTAGTCTAGATGTATTGTGTATATGATGATTAAAATTTCTCTCTTGGTTTTAATTTTTCAGAGAAGATAAAAGATGGTAGCAATGGTTCTGTTTCTGATAACTCTTACCATCTTTACAAGGTAATTTTCCTTTTCTTTTTTTTTGTTTGGTAATAAATAAGTAAAAATTAAACAGTTGTTCTTATTTCCATTGGCTTCAAAAGCAGTTACATTTTTTTGATTATGTATATTCATATCATGTATTTTTTTTTAAAAAAAAACAGGAAGATGTGGCTTTATTGCATCAAATGGGATTCAATGCATACAGATTCTCAATCTCATGGTCCAGGATCTTGCCTCGTAAGTTCCATGCATCTTCTTCTCTTTGTGGATCAATCATTCACAACACATGAGATTTTGATTATTTTCTCTGTGCCAATGTTTTCTTTTCTTATTTAGGTGGGAATCTAAAAGGTGGAATCAACCAGGCTGGTATTGACTATTACAACAACTTGATCAATGAGCTTTTGTCCAAAGGTAAAAAAGACAAATTCCAAATTTCAAAACAGAGGACTTAAGTAACGCTTCTCTGTTTCCTATGAATTCAAAGTTACGACTTTAGTATTTAAAAAAGGATTCAAAACTCTTACGGATTTGGAAACGTTACTGAATTAGTAGTTAGTACAGATTGAATGAATCTTAGAGAGACAGTGACTAACCATATTTCTTTCACCCTTAAAACTAGGCTATGTTTTAGTTATAAACGCAACGCAACGCAAGCACTAATGTAAAATGTTATGTTTTTGTATACAGGAATTAAGCCTTTTGCAACCATGTTTCATTGGGATACACCACAAGCCCTTGAAGATGCTTATGGCGGATTTCTTGGTGCCGAGATTGTGTAAGTCCTCCAAATTGAATAACTTTTCTTAGCAATTTGTGAATATATATGATCAAGTTTTACTAGCCATTACTATTAACAATACAAGTCATATAGTGGCCAAAAGAACTGTTGATTTAATTTATTTATTTTTTGTAATGAAATAGGAATGATTTCCGTGATTATGCGGATGTTTGCTTCAAGAATTTTGGAGATAGAGTGAAGCATTGGATGACATTGAACGAGCCGTTGACAGTGGTGCAACAAGGGTATGTTGCAGGTGTGATGGCTCCAGGAAGATGCTCTAAATTCACTAACCCTAATTGCCTAGGTGGAAATGGAGCCACCGAGCCTTATATTGTTGGTCACAACCTCATCCTTTCTCACGGAGCCGCCGTCCAAGTCTACAGAGAAAAATATAAGGTTAGAAAATTATACATGATGCTCTGTTTCTTAACCATCAAGTTACTAAAACAAATCGCTGAATCTTGCTATGTTTAATCCTGTTCATACCGTGACAAAATATGCTTGTTCAATAGGCGTCTCAAAAGGGTCAAGTTGGTATTGCTTTGAATGCGGCTTGGAACTTACCATACACAGAATCACCCGAGGATAGAGCGGCTGCAGCACGAGCCATGGCCTTCACATTTGATTACTTTATGGAGCCGCTTGTGACCGGTAAATACCCGGTTGATATGGTCAACAACGTGAAAGGCGGTCGCTTACCTACATTCACTGCACAACAATCTAAGATGCTGAAAGGCTCATATGATTTCATTGGCATCAATTATTACTCTTCAACCTACGCAAAGGATGTTCCCTGCTCCACCCAAGATGTTACCATGTTCTCTGATCCTTGTACCAGTGTCACAGGTCTGTTTTCTAGTCATCCAACTTTCTTATTTTTAAGCACTATAAACTAAATTTAATCGAGTCTCAATTTTGTATTCGAAATCAGGTGAAAGAGAAGGAGTTCCCATCGGTCCAAAGGTACTTGTCTAGACTCATAAAATGTTGCAGCGGTTGTTAATATTTGTGACTTTAATTCAAATTTCTAAAAATTGTGTACGTGTGGGTCTTTGATCTTGTAGGCTGCATCAGATTGGCTTTTGATATATCCAAAGGGAATTCGTGATCTTGTCCTTTATGCTAAATACAAGTTTAAGGATCCTGTCATGTACATTACAGAAAACGGTAAATCACACAAACAACTGCTTCAGTACTTCTTGATATGTATATGTATTCTTTTATATAGTTTCCTCCTAATAACATATTATATCAATCTTTGTAGGGAGAGATGAATTTAGTACCAATAAAATCTTCCTTAAAGATGGTGATAGAATTGATTACTATGCTCGACATCTTCAAATGGTGCAAGACGCTATCTCGTAAGCTTCCTTTTTTTTAATCTAATGTTAAAGAATCCTCCACACCTGTGTGAGATATTTATGTAATTCTGATGCAAATGTTTTTTCTTTAACTGGCATATTTTAGGGTCGGAGCAAACGTGAAGGGATTTTTCGCATGGTCGTTGCTAGACAACTTCGAATGGGCAATGGGATACACAGTCCGCTTTGGGTTGGTTTACGTGGATTTCAAAAATGGAAGTAAGAGATATCCTAAGAAATCCGCTCAGTGGTTCAGAGAATTGTTGAATGAAAAGAAGAACAATTGATGATGATTACATAACCATTATATTAGTTTCTCTATCACTATTGAGAGATTTAACATTTTTCCTCCTTTGAAAATAATAAAAATGGTTTTGCTATTTTAAACAACGTACCCGGCTGGTTGATGTAATTTACTCGACGATGTTAAAGTCATCTTTCGATGTTACGGACGATGGTATAAGGAGAGTTAATACTAAACTCTTTGGAAAATGATAAAAACTAAACGAGAACATGTGGAAACGGTATAGGCATAAACTGTAACGTTTACAAGTTTCCTAAGTTTCAGCGTCTATCATTTTGAAAAGAAAAAAATAATGTTGGATCTTCAAATTTTAGAAGAACAGAATGGCTAAGAGAGGGTGCACTCTTTTATTCTCCTTTTGATAACCTCGTTCATTTGTGGTATTATGAGTTGGATTATTTTGAAATTTCTTTAACGATTGTGATGGATTTGGTTATTGACTATATAGCATGTGTGATGAGTTGACACTTGACAGTAAGTGTAACAATTATTGGTGTCGATGTGGGAATATTCTCTATTATACGCATTCAAATAGAATGCCCAGTAAATACGAAAGCATCTCAATTTTTTTAGCTTTTTTGTGTTCTTAAATTGTTTCCCATTCCCTTTAGATGGCAAAATGGGATCTTACTTTACTTAAATCAACTTGTACTGAAAAATACTAACGTCAACGTTAATGTGTCTCAATCTCGGAAATTTAACGTTAATTGGTTAAAAAAACTTACGTCATGTCAAGATATACGAGTGAAGTTAAGCTTCAAACTTTTTAGGTTTAGAGATACATATTTTTTTCTCACAATAAACTAGTCACTATAATCCGAATAAAAATAATTCTTTGTGTTGTGTACGCCGTTTGACTAAAGAAAAGTATTTAAACTAGACTATGACTCACAAGAGGTCAATAAAGGCGACGCGACACTATAAATATGCTAAACATTCATATATTATATAGTCTAAACCTCTGAATCTGATCCAACTACTACTTACATATCCACAATTTTATGACTATCCTAAAATTAATTTTAGTGATATATGTTCTAAGAATTAAGGTATCTAAATATTTTTAGTTGGAGTTACGAATTTGACGAAATAGTTTACGGCCACTTTCGGATAATTTATATATTAAGACTAAACGTTGATTTCGATCTAGAGAATTAAAGGAAAAAAGGGTTAGAGAACGCATGCAGTGCTTTGATAATTCACAACATGACATAAGCTAATTGACTTAATCATATATTTTACTTGAATCATTATAAAAAATTATGTTCAGAGCTGAGTGGGGCTAATGGGTTAAACTATATCCAGTTTGACAATGCCCAACTTTATAAGAAACTATGTGTCTTTCAAACTAAATTGTATTCAGTGTACTTTTAGTAGTCACTATATTTGTGGTCACTAGCTACGTTGTATAATAGGAACTTAGGAATGAAGACATGAATGCGACCATATTCAAACTGATCTGACTATTTTATATGTAATGTGATCATACATGACACTGCCTGCTGCCTGCATGAAGCGCCACTCACGAGTCAAAGTGGAGTCCAAATGCTACTAATATTTCATTTTTCTTTTCAAATGCTAATATTTCCACAAGAAATCCAAATTTTGCAGCTTTTAGAATACAAATTTCAAATGCTAATATATGTATATTTCCACATTACAATATCATATTATATATATATGGATAAAATTCAAGACACGGTGTGGTTCGTCCAGATATCCACCAATGAATTAAAAGAAACGATATCTGATCATCTGAATGTTTTGTTTCTTTGCCATTCCTTTGGGATTTTTTTATATATAAAAAAAATATATAATTCCCGAGATCATCCAAGTACGTAAAAGGAAACGCCAGCCTTTTTGAACGTGAAAGCTGTAAGAGTTTTACATGCAAAAAGACAGGACAATGAACGTAGTCAAATATTGATACCACGTTCAATCTCCATTTGTCCAAAATACAAACATACACACACACACACGCATGTTCACAATGTTTTGAATGTAACCAGTGATCCCGACTACATTCAAAGATGAAGATGAACATAAACTAAGATTACGGTCGTATTTGAGGTTCAAACATAAGGAAACCAAAACTGGAATTCTCCTCCTTTTGTTTTATCTTTCCATAATTTTATTTTTACGGTAAATCATCATTGTTTAATTTTATGTAAGTACTTCGTAGTCTATGTTATACCTTTCCACGTAGACCAACAACGTCACATGACGAAGCTCTCTCTCTTTATATACGAGAACATAAACGCTTTGTTTGTTACAACTACAAATCTCAGCTTTGAACACTTCAAAGAAAATACATAACTTAAAACACACAAAAACAAAGATATGAAGGTGTATATTTTCATCCAGCTCCTTATAATAATCTCATGGTTGTCGAAGAAGGTTACTTCATTTCCTCCTGAATCTAGAGCACTCGATCGTCATGATTTTCCGGATAATTTTGTTTTTGGAACAGCTGCATCGGCGTTTCAGGTAATATTTTACTTGGTAATATCAAATATTCTAGTTTTTAAAAATAAATTATCATAACAAATGATGTGGAATCTAATTTGTACGTACGTACTTGTAGGTATAATTCCTTTTGATGTTGATGTTACATTAATTTTTAAAAAACTATTCTTCAGTTTATTTTTTTGTTTATGTCATTATGAACAATAAGAATTAGACAAATGATTTAGTTTGTAATATTGGATTTTCTATTAAAAAAAATAATGATCAACTGTCACTAAAAAACTAACCTTGTCCGTGATGTAGTATGAAGGTGCAACAAGTGAAGGTGGGAAGTCTCCAACTATATGGGATTACTTCAGCCACACTTTTCCAGGTATCTTTTATATCTATACTTCTGTAAGATAACGTTTTACTAAAATTATATATCTATATATGTGTACGACTAATAGTTCTTCTATTCCAAATACAGAGAGAACCAGTATGCAAAATGCAGATGTAGCGGTCGACTTTTATCATCGCTATAAGGTACAAGCTTTGATGCCAAACTATATATACATTGTTTGTTTTGTTAATTTTTATATTAGTCAAGGTCGTAAATATTTTATGTTGTTTTCTTGTGACTAGGATGACATCAAATTGATGAAAGACTTAAATATGGACGCTTTCAGATTTTCCATTTCATGGGCTAGATTAATACCGAGTAAGTAAAATTTACAGTTTTACTACTGTATGCGTTCAGTTAAAATTAATACATGTAAATGTTTTGGTATATCTGCTTAACTTTTGGTATTATGTTTGAAGGTGGAAAAGTAAAAGATGGAGTAAACAAAGAGGGTGTACAGTTCTATAAGGCTCTCATCGACGAGCTTGTAGCTAACGGTATGTTATGACTAATTAATTAGACCAAAACCTCTCTAATTGACAGTAACTATATTATATTATGCGTTACATTTTTTTTTTTTATTATTTTGAAAGATATTATGCGTTACATACTTACATTACATTGTCTGATGAACAAACATATGCTGCAGGTATTCAACCATCGATAACACTCTACCATTGGGACCATCCTCAAGCACTTGAGGACGAGTATGGTGGTTTTTTAAGCCCTCAAATAGTGTAAGTGAACTTTAGCAATTTATTCTAAAACATATGTATATAAATTTTAAATATTTTTTTATGGTTTATGATATCATGTAAATAGATATAAAAGATATTATTATTAATTGACTGTAAATTTGTTTCCTTAAATGAATATTAACTATATATTAATTTATTTATTTTAAAACAGAGAAGATTTTCGAGATTTTTCGAGAGTATGTTTCGAGGAATTCGGAGACAAAGTTAAGATGTGGACTACTATAAATGAACCTTATGTCATAACTGTTGCGGGCTATGATACGGGAAACAAAGCGGTCGGACGATGCTCTAAATGGGTCAATAGTAAGTGTCAAGCCGGCGATTCAGCCACTGAGCCTTACATTGCATCGCATCACCTTCTTCTTGCTCATGCCGCAGCTGTCCAAGAGTTCCGAAAATGTAACAAGGTGGGATTATACAAGCTCTCTGACTTAAGTATATAATTAGTGTACTTCTGATCAGTGTATTTGCTTTTGATCTTATAAACTAATCAAAGAACTTTGCGTGACAGACTTCACAAGACGGTCAGATTGGGATAGTGGTGTCGCCTTTGTGGTTTGAGCCTTATGACTCTAGTTCTCCTGCCGATAATGAAGCTGTTAAACGAGCTCTTGTCGCTGAACTAGATTGGTAAGAGATGATGTTATATACATAATTAAGTGTAAATTAAACAAGTAATGTTACCTTTAATCACACAATATATACTAACATATATGTTTCCAACATGTATATCAGGCATTTAGATCCGGTTATTCATGGAGATTATCCAGAACTAATGAAGAAACGAATCGGAAATAGATTACCTTCTTTCACTCGAGAACAGTCTCAAATGTTGAAAAACTCATCTGATTTCATAGGCATAAACTACTATACCGCTCGTTACATTGCTCATCTTCCACACGTCGACCATGCACGACCTCGTTTCGTAACCGATCAACAGCTGAAATGGACAGGTAAGAATGCTTACGTTAATATTCGTATTTGACTATTTTTCTTCGCATGAGATTAAGTAAATTCCTAAATCAGTTTCATCTCTTTTTTTGAACAGTCACAAATCAAAGTAATCACCAATTCGGACCAGGGGTACGTAACTTTTTTTTTACAATTTAATTAAAAAAATAAAACAAATCATCGTTGCTATTTATTTATGTTCTGTTTTGTTTTTACACCTCCAAAGATTATAAGGTTTCTTTTTGATCATGACACACAGGAAGATCGTGGCATACTCCAATCACATCCAGAAGGTTTACGCAAAGTTCTTAACTACATTAAAGACAAATACAATAATCCTATAGTCTATATAAAAGAGAACGGTAAGATTTTTATTTTCATTTTAAAAATATTTCTCTGTTAATTTTTATTTTTGTCTGTTTGCTAAATTGAGTTGATAAATCATTTTAATAGGAATTAATGACTATGACGACGGCACAAAATCACGAGAGGAGATTCTCAATGACACATTTAGGATGAGTTACCATGCGGACCATCTCCAACAACTCCACAAAGCTATAAGGTAAGTAAACACTCTGGTTCATATAATTTTACTAAAAATTGGATCTGATTATTTTAAACGTAACTTTTCGTTAATTACATATTACATTTGTTTTCTGATTATAACAGAGAGGATGGATGTGACGTAAGAGGATATTACGTGTGGTCTTTACTAGACAATTTCGAGTGGGAGCATGGATACTCTACTAGATTTGGTCTGTACTATGTAGACTACGAAGACAACGATCTCACTCGGTATCCCAAAGGTTCGGTCAACTGGTTCAAGCAGTTTCTTCACAGACCGGTCGTAAAGAATGAAGAAACAGAGGAGGAGAGAGTATGGGATGTGGTGTCACGTGAGGAAAGGTATAATAAGACTTTCGATGATTCAGAAGGTTTCGAGGCATCCGTTGGTTCGATTCTTTATCTCATGACGAATGTATCGAGAAGAGAAGAGGGTGACGAGAGAGATCGATGCGCTCTTGGGAATCCTAGTCATCAATTAGGTTTCATGTTGGGAACATATAATTCTTTGGGATTATAGAATATGTTTTGTTGATTAGACCCTAGCTTTCATTTAAATTTTTGAGTTATCGATGAACATAGCCGTTGTAGGAAGATAATTATATTGAATGGAAATAAAAAAAACAACTAATTTTATAGACTGATTATAATTCACTTCTTGCTATGTCTCTTCTTCTTTGAAAATAAAGAGTTTGTATGAGTGATTTCTTTTTTTTTTCTTTTCTAAGTGATAAAGTAAGTATATTTTCCTTTTTTCTTGGTGCGTCCAATTATATAAACGAAAAAAAACCTAACCTTTCCTTTTCTTGAAAAACCCTTTGTCAAATATAGAGTATACAGTTTAAAAAAAAAAAAAAACTATTCAGTATTGAATAAGACGGTCGAATTTCACATCAAGATCCGGCCTTTCTCTCGACATATAGGGATGATGAGACTTATAAGAAAGATACTTATATTCATAAAACAGATTAACAGAACAAAAGCGTCTACATGAATAAATCATATATACATGCTCTAGACATGTATATAAGTTATAACTCGAGCATTAGATGATCTTTGGAAAGCACAATACCATATGTTTCAACTTTCAAGTGATACACACGTTTTTAGTCGTGCAAATTTAGTTTTTTTTGTTCTGATACTAGTGAATATGATTTTGTATACGAATTCAAGGAGCAACGGCTGAATGCGGAAACCAAAAATTAATGCAAGGAAAAATATAATATGAAAACACACCCAAAATAAAATAAACACATCCTAGTTTATTTTCTTTCTAATGTCCCGTGCTAGGAAAGAGCAGCCTAGTATTTTTTTTTTTTTTCTTGTTTCTTTTTTTTTTGTCAACATCCTAGTTTATTTTCGTACTCAACCAAACGTGGTTTGAGCTTTATCATAGAAAAGTTATTTGTTTAATACGATGAGAAAACGTGAAAATATTAGAAGAAAGGACCAAGCGTCACCAAAATTTAAAAGCACATAATGTTTTGTCAATTAGGTGATGACCGAGAAAGTATTAATTATTTTGACTATTATAAATTAATTCTTAATTATAGGTGCTTGGCTTTAGCTTTAATTCTCTTGCTAGTCACCTTCCGTAGTCCATTAAGCGGAATTGTATATATGACGTTGGAAGACGACTAAGCCATAATCACTAACTTTTAAACTGATTTAGTATTTTTCAATATTTTGTGTTTAAATTAAATAAACCAACGACTGAGTTATAATATTCTAAGAACTGTTGATCCAATTTTTATCATATGATGAAGATGATATATTATAAATAACAGTCAATGAAAACCAACTGATAAAAATATTAATTATCTAATTTCATAGTCAGTCTAATTATAGGTTCCCTCTCTCTTTTTGTCGTGTATGCCCTAGATTTCTCTCCCCCTCTCTCTATATAAACCCATCCACATGGAAACGAGAACGTATCAGACAACAATCAGCTCATCATAAAATCTCTTACTACATATCAAGTTTCTTTATTCTTTTGATTTCTTTGCTTAACTAAGCTGTGAAATATGGCAACTAAGCTTGCCCTTATACTCACATTCTTTCTAGCCTCATGTGCTGTTTCAAACGGAACATCTCTTACATTCTCAACGAAATCACTTGATCGTTATAGTTTTCCTCCTGACTTTAGTTTTGGTGTTGCTTCTGCTGCTTATCAGGTTAGTTGGTTTAAAAACAAAACAAAAAAAAAAAAACTAATTCGGAGGCTTTAACTTGTTTATTTGACATCGAATAACATGTATTAATTGCATATATACGTTCATGTGATGATGCAGTATGAAGGTGCAGTTGAAGAAGGAGGAAGGACGCCTAGCATTTGGGACAACTTCACTCATACATATCCAGGTTTACATTTTTATATATTTCCTTTTCTTTTTCACCATTTATATTAACATTTTGTGCAATTTAATTGCAAGTATAGTATGTTAACATTGTAAATTTTTGCAGAAAGGACACATATGGATAATGGAGATATAGCCGTTGATTTTTACCACCGTTATAAGGTATGATGGTTTGAATGAATTTTATTAAATAATTGTTTTAATATGTTTTATGAACAAATGGGCGGGACATAGACAATAGACATTGTCCCAGACATAAAATTTAAAAAACATCTCGTTTTCAAATTTATTATTGCATTTACCTGCTATATATTTACCATAAGTTCATGTACTAAACAAGCAGGATGATATCAAGTTGATCAAAGAAATGAATATGGATACTTTCAGATTCTCCATCTCCTGGTCAAGAATATTACCAAGTGAGTAGTGAAAATATTTGGATATTTAGGTTAAAATACTAATTACATAATTCGATCTGCCTTATGTTCTTATGCATACTTACTCACTTGCTGATCTTTCAAAATTGAACATTCAGGTGGAAAGCTTAACGATGGGGTAAACAGCGAAGGAATTCAATTCTACAAAAACCTCATCGATGAACTTATCAAGAACGGTGAGAATCATAAACTTAAACAAGTGTATATATATGTATATATATATATATATATATATAACACCTATTGAATATTAAAGTCCAACATTTATAGTATTTCTGATCATATACTATATTCAAACATGTTCACAGGGATAAAACCTTTTGTAACTATCTACCATTGGGATATCCCTCAAGTTCTAGAAGATGAGTATGGTGGTTTCTTAAGCCCTCGGGTCATGTAAGAATTTTTATTTTATTTCATTTCCATACATTGAATCTATAGCTTACTCTTAGTTTAACCATTTTTACTCAATTTTTGTTGATGTTTGTAAAACAGCGATGATTTCCGGAATTATGCTAGAGTGTGCTTCGAAAATTTTGGCGACAAAGTTGATATGTGGACAACATTCAACGAACCATATGTTTATAGTGTTGCGGGTTACGATAGTGGTAATAAAGCGATGGGACGGTGCTCGAAATGGGTAAACAGTTTATGTGTGGCTGGTGATTCGAGCACAGAACCTTACTTAGTTTCTCATCACCTTCTTCTAGCTCATGCTGCAGCTGTTGAAGAGTTTAGAACTTGTGAAAAGGTACATATATAAGAAAATATATCACTACATTAGTGAGTTAGAAAAATTCTCATTAATTAATATAAATCATTTTATTCTTCTTTTCAAAACAGATTTCACAAGATGCACAAATAGGTATAGTGTTATCTCCTTTTTGGTTTGAGCCTTATGATGTTGCTTCTAATGCTGATAAAGAAGCAGTTGAACGAGCTCTTGCATCCTATGTTGGTTGGTAAGTTGTCTTATTTATAAAATTATTCAAAGTTTCGAATATGTTTATGTAAAAAACTAAATCGGCTAATCTTGACATTTATGTAGGCATCTTGATCCTCTAGTTTTTGGAGATTACCCAGAAACGATAAAGAAAAACGCTGGAAACAGATTACCTTCTTTCACCAAAGAACAATCTGATATGGTCAAAAACTCATTTGATTTTATTGGAATAAACTACTATACAGCCCGATTTGTAGCTCATCAATTGCAAAGTGACCCTTCACGACTTCGTTTCACGACGGATCAACACCTTGAATACAAAAGTAAGAACCTCAAAGAGAAAAGAAAGCTTAGTCTTTAATTGCTCTATGTTTAATCTAGTAATAAAGCTTCAACTTTTATTAATAAATAAATAAAACTTCAACTAAAACTAATATTACCTTATTGTCTTTTTTGGTTAGTGACAAATCGTAGCGGCGATTACATCTCTTCACAATCGGTATGAACTTTAATACCTCTTTAAACTGTCTATTTTTGTAAAAGAAAAAACTTATGTGAGGTAGAATATTCGGTTAACATATACTCTTTGTTTTTTCGATTACAGGATGGATCAAATTTTTTATATTCATATCCTGAAGGCATACGAAAGATTCTAAACTATGTCAAAAACAAATATAATAATCCAACGATTTACATAACTGAAAATGGTAAGAACTAATTCAAGCATTTTACTAATTCTCACTATACAACTATCTATCTTACTAAATCATGAATAATTTGTAGGATTTGACGACTACGATGTTGGAAAAAGTCCCCGCGAGCATATATTAAAAGACACGCAGAGAATAGAATACCACAAGAATCATCTTCAAGAACTCCATAAAGCTATCACGTAAGAAAATTTTCACTATATAATGAAATAACATTTGATATAGTTACACTAATGATCTTATATGATAGTTGATATTAATGTTAATATGTACATAAATACAGTGAGGATGGATGTGACGTCAGAGGCTATCTTGTATGGTCGTTGTTGGATAACTTTGAATGGGAACATGGATACGATGTGAGATTCGGTCTCCATTATATAGACTATTCAGACAATCTAAAACGATACGCTAAATATTCTGCCAAGTGGTTCAAACATTTTCTCAAGAGATCAGAACATCCGACGACAGATCCTGTTGGATATGGGGTTCACTCTTTCAACGGTCCGGCCCAAATCGGATCCAACCTAGGGGAAAGAAATGGGTCTGACTCACATTCCTACCCAATAAGTATCATCATCTCAGAAGGTGTAATATACCCTATTATAAATACCGAAGGACACTTTAGAGAAAACGGATCCGGAATGTACTCTGACACGCACAACACAAGTCATCATCTCAGCACGTACGAAACACTTGTTCGATATCACCTGCTCGGCAACTCAACATCCTGTTCGAACAGAAGAGATCAACCTACTCAGCTCTGTAGTTTATATACCATATCAGCTTTGTATAATACCTTGTAAATTGCTAAAATCTATGCTCGTTCAATAAAAAAAATTCTTTTTTTTTTAACCATCACTTGAGATCGCATGAAAAAACATATTTACTGGGTCTCGACATAAACATATCAGTTTAAAAGTACAAAGAAGTGGTGGCATTGGGAAAATTAGAAGAAAAAAAAACGAAAAATTGACTCGTTAGTCGTTACCAGTTTTAGAAGTTATGGAATATATGTAGACATGTTTGTATCTATGACTATATATGAGGCTGGGAATGATCTCCCTTCTTGTATGTGGATATAGGATCATAGAGAGATGTATGGTATATCCCTCACAACTGACCATTTGATTACAGAAAAAATATATATTTATTTCTACCATCTAAAATCAAGATTACGAACATGGCCTG